GTCATCTATTCATTTTAAACCTCAGAAGGAACAAGTGCAGAAATAGAAGATGTAGTAATCCGAGGGTTTCTGAGGAGGTGAAACTTGCCTGTGATTGAATATATGCATTTTGTATTATTCTATATGCCTCCTGCATGAAAATATTTCACTTAAACATGAGAGGTCTTCATTTTGTCTTTAAATAAATAATCTCTTCATCCTGGGGAGTGTTGTCATCTTTGTGAGTGTCTTAAAGCTGTGCAGCTTTCATAAATGTAAGTTGAGAACTTCTATTGGTAACGTTTCCATCATTGCCGTCTTTGTTACTTCTTCATCCTCTTTGCTGCTATTTTTTATATTTTAAATGAAAAAATAAACGACTGTCCTTGTATTTATTCTTTACAGTGAGCTAGCTTTGGCCTTGGGGAAATATCAGCTAAGTATAGAAAAGTCTGAAGAGAAGCTGCTAAATTTTAACAGGGAGTTGCTAATTTTCTTTTGATTTTAGCATTGCTGCGCAAAAAGGAGTTTGTTTTTTTCCAAGCAATGAAAAAACAGCTGTGTTGGTGTTAAATATTCAGCAGGTTTTATAAGCAACTTATTTAAATATCTTCATCTTTATAGGTTTCCCTCATCTGAAAGTACTCTGAAATACAATGTTTGAGAGGGGGAATAATTTCTTGCTTGACTCTTTACCTTTATCCATTTGGCATTTTGTAAAGTCCAGGTTTGTGTTTAAAAAAATGAAATCAATTATGCAACTTTTTGCCAACAAAATAGCTGATGCCTTCATTCTCTAACTGCAGAAAAGTTGGTGAAGAATTTCTACTGAATGCTTAAAATAGCCAAAGGAGATTTGGAAAAAATGAGTGATGTATGACACAAGCATCCTGGCTGAAGCTAAAAGTACTTCCAGATCATTTAGAAACGAGCACTTTAAAGAGTGGCAGACTGAGAAAAATGGTGTAGTGCAACTCAAACCTGGTCTGAGCTGATCTCTGCCAGTCACAAAGATGGAAATTTTCGGTAGCTCTGACACCCACCAAAGGCCCCACGAAGAGCTGTGGATGGTGGCAGTGTCAGTTCAGCAACTTTCTGAGCTGGCTTCATATACCAAGGGTAGGATTGACATAACATCACTTAATGCCCCGAGCAGTGGGAAACCCTCTGAAGGGAAGATTGGGATTGCATAGTTATGTCTGAGTTTGAGTTACTGTATTTCTAGGCAGCTTGTTGTGAAAGAAGCTGGCTACATCTTGGGTGGGCTCTGAAATGCTCCGCTTGCTTCTCCAAATCATTCCAGCCTCTCTGAAGTTAATGGCTATTTGCAATTTTGGACAAGTCTTGCATTATATTTTATAATAATCTCATTAACATGCTACCTAAATGCTACTTAAATTCCCATGCAACAAAGTCCATTAAAAAAAAAAATCAGGTTTTTTCATTTTGCTGTGAAAGCAAAGATTGTGTGTACTGAACTGAACTGAATTGAAGCCAGCAGTAGAGCAAGCCGGCTGTCATGGGGCAGCACCAGACAGATCTTCCTGATGTTATGGTATGTGAAATAGAGAGCGTTTCCTAAATGAAGTCCTGCATCTGTGAGCCCAGATGAAGTTGGGAAGCCTTTGGAGATGAGGATTGTCTGGGCAAAACATAATTCTGCCTCAAGTATCAGGTGGAGACCCGTATGTTGCAGTCGTAGTGAGAGAAGAGAAGGGATGGATTATTTGGTTGTTGGGGACTAAATAAACTAATTGGGATGGAAGTAGAGAATCTGACTGGTCGGGCTTCGAGTGGCAGGAAGGTTTGGAAGTTTGGAGATTGTGACTGAGTAAGAAAGGAGCAAGGCCTGGAGCAAGAGAAGGGAATGGAAAAGGAAGAAGAGAAAATGAGAAGCACGGAGTAGAAAGAATCGCAGTTGGCGTGAGGTAGCTGGCAAGTTCCTCTCTTTAGTGAACCCCAGAATACTTCAGAACAGAGAATTTTCTACTGTTTGCAGTATCCTTTATTTTGATTATTCTTCTGTGACGGGGGTACATGTGGAGGATAACCAAACATTACTGAAATTATTTTTGTGAGCTCCAGGTGGCAGAGACCCATGTGGGGATCTAAGTGTCCAAACAGAGAGCATTAATGTATCACATGGTGCAGTTATGGTCTTACTCCGTCCACTTTATTAGATGCAAAGCGATTGCTGACGAAAGAGCAGGATTTAGCTCAGAAGCGTTGAAATGCACATTCAGTATGTGTCCATATAACCTTCATTCATCATCTTCATGCGTGATGGGGTCGTATACAATTATGCAGTCACTTTTTCCTGCAGGACCTTTGTTCGGTGTTCGCGCCTGCTGATGTGTCATCATTTCATCAGCAGTTACGTACTGTTTTAGTTTTAAACTTACTCAGTGTGCGAATCTGCCATTCTTCACTGTATGTCATGAAGATCTGAAAAGAAAATGCATTCCTTCATGGTTAATACTCAACAAACTGTATAACAAGATGTATTGGCTTTGCAGTGATAGATTTATTTATCACTTTGTGTGGCTAAAGCTGCTGGAGTCCATGATCAGAGCAGATAGTTGGTCGTTTCAGCTGCTTTAGCTTCGTTTTGGATCTGTTAGAAATAACTTCCATAGTACAGTGTCTGACAAGGAGTTGGTTTCTCTTGCAGTCATCACTTCTGTGGGTTGCAGACTGCAGACCGTGATGGCACTCTGCATATCCTTGCATGTTGATTTTTGTAAACATATAATCCGATGGAATCTGGAGATCTAAAAGTCTTCTGGCCATAAAGTTCATGTAGTCAGACCCATGGTGCAATACATTCAGTTCTAACCAGCCTCTTGTGGTCACATTGAGGTGAATAACGCTAAGTTTAACTCCTCAGCCACTTAAGAAATAAATTGTGTAGAACAAATACTAGAAGAAAAACTGTTGAGTGCTTTTCATTGTTTGTTTTAGATTTGTAGCTTCCTAACTAGGAAGAGAACCTAGGAAAAACACATTTTATGGTCCCTCCTTGTGTTGGACAAGGTCAAAAAAACGCTTGTAGACCTCTCCCTCATGCTACAGGGAAGAGAGGAGGCTGCTTGCAATTAACAGTGTATAAGTTAGGCTTAACTTGACAACTTTCTTGACTGAAAAGGATGGGAAAAAGTACATTTGCACTGTGACTAAATCTAGCGTACAATTAATTCTTCTATGCGGTTCTGTGTGTTAATTGCTGTCATTGTGTGAACTGATGGTTTAAGCAAAAATAGAAGATTTTATAACTGGTGTGTTGCTGACAATGCATAGTCTTAGCTTAAAGTGCCAGCCCTTTGGCTTTCTGAATCTATTCTGCGCTGTCAATCTCTGTGAATCATCTTTATGTAAATGAAAAATACATTGAAAAGAGCAAACCTGGAAAGTGTGGTTCGCCCTTCCTTTTCCACTTTTCTTGTTTGTTCAGAAGCTATATGCGGGGCAGTGTCGAAGTGGAGGTGAGGTTTTCTGGATAGATGCAATTAAATCTCCTCCCATGTACCCTTAGCTCTTAATTAAAGGTTCCCAGTGCCATACCTAGCTCCTGCTGTATCTGTTGCTGGCACACTGGGCCACCAGGCTGCAGGAATTGCTGTGGTGGCCTGGGACACGTTCAGGTCATTTGACAGTTGGGGGTCTCACTGCGATGAAACAACAATCTGCCACCAGTGCTTCACCCTGTTAGAAAGGTGGTTAGTTTTGAAGACGGACTTTTGCCCCTCTGTGAAAGGTGTTTGATGTTGCCTGGTGTGCTCAAATGGTGCTTTGAGGATGGGCTGCACAGGCGGAGTGACATCAAATGGGTCCTTTCTTTAAGGAAGGCATGAAAAGAGCAAAGCTCTCCCTCTCAAATGGCATCCTGAGGTGAAATTATCAAGGTCTAGCAGGGTCCAGCAACTTCAACCTCTGGCAGAGCTGGAATGACTTGTCTTCGTTGTGATGTTTATCCCTTTTTGGTTGACATACATCCAACGTGTCTATTGGCAAGTGAGCCCTAAGCAGCTGTGCTTTTCAGATAGTGAAGATAAAATCCCCAAGTAGGGCTCTTTTCACCTTGTTACTTCCCAAATCGTGGTGCTTGCCTGTGAGAATACACTGGGAGCCTTGAGAAATACCATGTGGAGTAGAAGCCCGAAGCCCTACATCCACACCATCGCCAGAGGCACTGGGAAGAGCCTTCCTGGCTTTTTTGGCGCTTTGTGTAAACTTCGAAGCTGCTCCTTTAGGCGCTGTCTTTGAATAGACTGCTTTGGGGTTTTTTTTGCGTGTTCAGTTGCTTAGCAACAGAGAAGAGGCAAAATAGTAAACGCAGCTAATTTGGGTTTATTACTGATAAGTTAACATCTCTTTAATGTAAAAATGTATTTATAATAAGACTAATGAGCTGTAATCCCTGGGTTTTGCCAGGCCGAATGTTAAATAAACAGCATCAGTGGACGGGTTAAAAAACCCAACAGCCCGAGGGGTTTACTGTTAACCTGGAACTGTGCTTTGAACATCTGCACTTGTGCGTGCTATTTGGGGGTGTTTTATGCTGCTGCTATGTAATTCTTTGTGCCTTATTTCCCCTAGCAATCATAGGGATTTGATTTAAAAACTAAACAAACAGCAACAACAAAACCCAAACCAAACCCAACCTAACATTAATTGTGTGAAGTAGCGTACCTGCTAAAGTGGAAAACCGGTAAGTTGTAGGAATGCAAAATGGATCTGGTTGCCATTTGTGTTGCCATTTTGGTATGGTAGGGTTTTTGACGGGGCCGAGTTACAGATTTTCTGGTCTTGCATGAGATGTTTGGCAGCAACAGTTAATTTTTATCATTCGTGGGGCAACATTCCGGTTGCTCAAAAAAGCATTTGTCTGATCAAGAGCTTTTTGGAATTTGTTTATAAATCTTTCCTTGCTGCTGGAATATTTGAACAATGCTAGCAGCAAAAATCCAGATAATTACAAATGGTTGAAGCAATCTTTCTGTTTATTTCATGTGTTTTTATAGATTGCCTCTTCAAACTATGTCCCATGAACCGGTACTCTGCTCAAAAGCAGTTCTGGAAAGCAGCAAAGCCAGGAGCTAACAGCACAACAGATGCCGTGCTACTCAATAAACTGCATGTAAGTATTCATGTTTAGGCTGCTGTTGATCATCAACACTCACCCATACTGCTTTAAATCACAGAATCACAGAACGTTAGGGATTGGAAGGGACCTCAAAAGCTCATCCAGTCCAATCCCCCTGCCGGAGCAGGAACACCCAGATGAGGTTACACAGGAAGGCGTCCAGGCGGGTTTTGAATGTCTGCAGAGAAGGAGACTCCACAACCTCTCTGGGCAGCCTGGGCCAGGGCTCTGTCACCCTCACTGAGAAGAAGTTTCTTCTCAAATTTAAGTGGAACCTCCTGTGTTCCAGTTTGTGTCCGTTAAATAAGGCTTTCCAACCAATTTGGCACAGTTAAACTGGAGACACCAAGAAAGTACCTAGAAATCAGTATACAAGACTCCTTTTGAGACATTGACTGGGATCTAGCTCTGATTGATGACAAATGCTGTGTTGTTGTGTTGAATTATGGCAGTCTGTGTGTTCCAGTATTGGTATGTATGATACTGATTTGGAGTCACAGTAGCCATCTAAGCTTTTGTTGTTAACCTGTAGTATTGCTCTACATGGGCATTTTGGGTGGTAACGGCTTAAAAATGGGATCCTTCAAACAGCTACATGGAGTAGAGGATTCTCAGGCATTGCGTCTTGCCTGGGAAGTCACGGGCGTTAGCTGTGCTGGTCGATGCCATCTGAGCTACCAGTCTGATAAATCTGTTGGGATTCCTCAAGCAAACATAGCTGCTGCTGATACATGCGAAGGTTGATGGGTAATTATGAGTAATTATAAAGCCAGACAGCCTCTTCTTCCTTATTAGCTTGCAGTATTTAATATTTTCTGGGTAAAATGTTGATATTCAGCAGTTGAAAACCCAGTAAGGCAATTGATTGCTGTTTTTAGAGTTCCTATATAAAAAAGCCAACTAAACTTAAATACCATCTGTTGACTTTAGAGTTAAATAAACTGTGTTTATGTTAAAATTACATAGCTAGAGTACTTCATGTCAAAATTACAATTCTAAATATTTTTAGTTTCTTTAAGCCTATATTAAGCTCATTGTAGACTGAACTACAAAATGGCCCTGTAGGAGAGTGTCATTTGCTGATTGCCATATGGCTGCCTTGCTCCTGCACTTCACAAAGGCTGAGTGTTTGACTCATTTTGCTTCTGAAAACATAATTTTATAACCTAGAAATATGAACTTGGCAAGGAGAAAGCTATTTTGGTACTGGCTGTAGCACAGAGGTCCCTCACTTGCTCCACATTTCTCCTGCCCCTTTGAATGATAAGAGAAGTAGACCCCGCCAGCTTTAAAGAACGGGGCATCCTGGGTTTGGTTTTTCCAGTGTAAAAGGGAAGAGGACACTTTATGCCTGCAGGTTATGTATATGCGTTCATGGATTTTAAGAGAACATATGGTCTAAATACTGCATAAGGTAGAAGAAAATTACTGTGTACTTGCCCTGGATTCCAATGTCATTTAAAGTTGTCTCTTTTTCCTCAGTACTCACCAGTTCAGGTGTTTGAGACCAGCTCCTATTTGTCTGACACTTTTACTGTTTTGTGCTGGGGTCCCTATGGAAATATGGGATTCGTTGTTTTTTTTTTTTGCAGTATTTAGTGCCAGATGAGTGATGTTTGTACAGAACCATACCACTGTGCATGAACTGCTTGCTTGATTTATTGAGAGGATTTGAGCACTTTACAGTTTTATTGGACATTATTTAATATGCATCACTTTGACATAAAGGCTGATCCTTTAAGCAGCGTGTGCCAAATCAGGTCTTCAGTGACCTGGGTCTTGATGCACGGCTTTAAAATAAGTTGGTCCCATATACATCACTCTTATATCAGAACTTATTTTTCTGCCAATCATACGGGTACACGTGTCAGCTTTTCCATTTGTTGGCACATGGAATACACTAAAACCCCTGCATTTTGCATGTTGTCTGCTGGGGGGGCTGTGCCCTCAAACACATGCATCCAATTGTGATTAGATTTTTGTATCAGCACATGTAATTTCTAACAAAATTAGTGATTGCAATGTATTCATCATCACTTGCCTTTTTTGGCTTCTGTTTGTCTGCTGGTGGAATTTATTGTCTGCTGTGGAGCGCTCAATGCTGAGGTCAGGTTATTTTAAGTTAATGCCATTTAAGGGATTTAAAATCTGGGACACTTGTCTTTCTTTGGTATCAAAAATCGGTGCTGGTTGAGAAGCTGACATCTAGTGGCCAGAGATAATGGTTCTTTCTTGAATGATTGTCAGTTTTGGTGTGTGCTTTTGAAATGCATCCAAAGTCTCAATCATATTTTCACAGAATATACTATTTTCTTTATATATAATAAATTTGGCATCCAATCCAGTGCAGGCAGAGAAGTCCTGTCTTCTGTGATTGCCATTGATAGTTGAGAGGGCCCCAGTGCCTTGAAGAAATCCTTTTCTTGACAGAATACTTCTCAATAATAAAGAGAAAATAATGCTGCATTGTATTTCTGAATATATTTTTGAATTTGTATGAACATCTGTATTCCAGATTCTCCTGGAGCAAGAGCCAACTCTCATACCTAGCAGAATGTCTAAAAATAGCACATTTTGTGTGAGCTGAAGGTGACGAAATCTTATAAGTGTACAGATAGCTCTTCCTTTGCAGTACCTGAGCTGTGTCCTGTGCTACTACTCCTTTACCTTGCTACAGCTTGGAGCTGTAGGCACTTCCTTCTCATGCAGGAGAAAACTGCACCTGCCATAGTCCTTGAGATCTGAGAATCAAACCATAAACCTTGATGCTTAGCCTCTAAAAAAGTCTAGTTTTAAATTACTATCTGCTGCTAGATAACCAGTTAAAGCAAATACAGAATATTTTTTAAATGAAAAATTAGTCTTTCATGTAAAGTAAGAGAGAAGTTCTTTACCAAGTGAAGTGGTTTAAAAACAGCCTGGGCAAAATAGTTTGCTTCTTTTAATACAAAACAAAATGCAAGAGACTGGTTATAAATTATTAAATAGAACAGTGCATCCCTATGATCATTCAGTTTTGCAAGGGCTTTCTTTCCCTTTTCTTATCATGTTAGTGCGATACGGAGATGCCCAGCTGTATTTTCACAGCCGGTCTATAATGCAGCACAGAACATCTTTCAGCATCATGAAGGACGGACGCAGTGCTGCTGGGATGTTGGGCACCCGTGTACTCGGAGCTGCAGTGGACATTTGTAAACATCACCTAAATAATCCTGCTGCATGGTGAAGGTGATGAGAGTCATCCAGAAAAGACAGGCTGTGGAAAAGTTGGGGCCTATAGTGGCAAAGTGAAATAAAGATCCGAAGTTGAGGTCCTTCTCTTTCAATTTGTACAGAAGTCAGTTGAAGGAGTATAGACTTCCTGGTTCGAGTCGTTACCCATCCCTTTTCACCTTCCTTCCATAGGTGCGGTGTTTTCTTCTCATGGTTTGTCTTCTATCATGTCTGAACTTTTCATCTGATGTTTATTCCAAAATTTTGTCAAATTCTACCCAAATTACAGATTGCTTTAATGGTGTGTGTCTATCTTCCTAAACAACTGAAAAAGGGAGCTGGAAATGGTGGTTTTGGATGAATTGCATCATTTCAGATGGTCACAGTTTTTCCAGTTCTTTGAAAATACTTTTAAAGAACCTTGAGTGTTTGGCCACACTTTTTATAAAACAGTCAGTGATTGAATTTTTCTCCTTTAATTTCAGCATGCGGCAGATTTGGAAAAGAAACAGAACGAAACTGAAAACAGAAAGCTGCTGGGAACGGTCATCCAGTATGGCAATGTTATCCAGGTAGGCTGTGGGCAATTTGCAAGCTGTGTAGGATTTTGCTCAAACTTTTCTGCTCGATGTGACTTTAAAGTTCTGGGACTCATGGACAAGAGTCTGTAGCTTTGCAAAGTGTGACAGCGTCCTGAAGTGGGATCCTGTGAAGCAAGAACTGGGTGTATGGTGGAGTCACGTTTTTTTATTATGGGTTAATTGTGCTTTGGATCTGGTCTTTTTTTGAGGTCACCATATGATTGCTTTCTCCAGAAATACTTCTTAGAGTCTTTATTAGAGTTGGCAGTTTGGAAGGTGGTGCAGGCACTGTACAATGCCAAATGTGGCTTCTCACAATCAAATGTTGACACATCAAATCGTAAACTGACAGAGAAGGAAAATCAAGCCATATAAGTAATTGCCAGTCCATTAAAGCAAAGGATATGATGGATCTTAGGGAATGGGAAAAAAAATAGCATGAAACCCAATAAAAATGTAAAGTAGAATAATTGCATAATTAAAGAAGACAGGTTTTTAATAATACGCAGCAGGTGTGGATTGACCCTGGAACAAAGCAGACCTGCTTCCACTGGGCAGAGTGCCTCAGTGCTGCAGAAGTAGGGGTAGTTACCTAAGCGTTTTAAGAAATAATCTAATTAAAGAAGAAATTCCTCTACAAATGTTTTTTATATTATTCTGCTAACATAATAGCAGCCAACAGAGGGAGTGGCTGGGAGCACAGGCAGGCTAGGTTTTCTTGGTGCAAGGAGGAATTGGTTGGCTGCCCTTTAAAGCAGTCATGTTTTCTGTTAAATCAGACCGAGCAAAGCATGATAAAGAGCAACTTTGCTTCTCACCACTCCCTTCATACCAGGGAGAACTACTCAGTCCCCTTTTGATCCTGGGTTTTCGAGCAGCCTGTTGTAAATGAGCAAGAGCATTTCGAAGTGTTTATCATTTGCTGGAGAAGGGACTGTTGGATTAGCCGAAGGTGTTTTGTGCTGTAGGACTTTTTATATCCTGAAAGAAATGTAAGTGAAATTGTGCGTGAATTAATCAGTATTTTTATATAATTTAGTTTTTCTTTCAATTCTTGTATAATACTGTGGTTATCTTACGCACACGTGCTATTTATTGAAGGGAGGAAAAATGAGCATTCATAGAACTGAACTCTAATTCTTATTCTAGCTGCTTCACTTAAAAAGTAACAAATACTTAACAGTAAATAAGAGGCTCCCAGCTCTGCTCGAGAAGAATGCTATGAGAGTGACCTTGGATGAAGCTGGAAATGAAGGTTCCTGGTTCTACATACAGCCCTTCTACAAACTGCGTTCCATTGGAGACAGTGTAAGTGCTCCGAGGAGGCTCTTCACCAATCACTTTGTGCACAGCTCGGTTCAGGAGGTCTGTCTTGCAATTAATGAAATGCACAGATCTCTTAGTGTGTGATGTTGCAGGAACAACCCTTTTCCTATGCTGTCGTGAGGGGGAGGAAAATCGCTATGGTAACTTGTATTGTGGAAATGTGGAATGATTTAATGTTGGAGGGAATAAGGGACCTAATTAGGCTAGCCGTTCACAGTTCCTGTCCGATTGGAAATGGTAGGAAATGTTGAGTTCCTTCAGTAGATTTGGAACAGATAATTGGTATCTTGGTTTTCAATACTGTCGGTTTGAAATGAAAATTCATTATCATTCTGCATATGAGGAGTGAGGTGGTAATGAGGTTAAATGGTCCTGTTCATGGGAAATCTGGAAAATAATTTGTTCTAAATTACATTACAACTACCATTTTAATTTCTTAATCTTTTTTACAAATCTGAGTTGTCTGGGTATACTGTCTGCCTAAAACCAAGAGGTAATAAGCTTCAGTGTGCTCTATGGTGAAGTCCAGGTATATATTTGGTATCTAAACAGCAGCCTTTATCAAATAGGAATAATTCATTCTGTAGAGTAGCCCCATACTTTTTGATGTGACTGTTTCTTTTCTACAGACACACAGAGTAAAGCGGAAGCACAGGGTCGTGCGGTCTTAGTGGCCGTTAATCTTTTTTAAATTCTCCAGGTCTCAGACATTATCACTAAGAACAGTTCTTTTCAATACAGAAAAGGCTTTTTGGTTTAAGTAAGCCTTTTCCCTAGAAGAAAGGAAGAACAGGAGCTTTACTGTCCGTAATAAAGTGTGTTTGTCTTGAGTCTTGTGCCAGCCTGGTCAGGAATCTGATTTTACAAATAAAAGTGTGTCTTGGAGGAAGAGAATTTTTGGCTGACCTTTTGCTATAGGAATTATTTGTTAAATGTTAACCAATAAAAAAACTTCATGGAAAGCAGCAGATAGGTTAGTTAGCAGAACTGCAGTCTGTTTCTTCTGTGGGCCTCTGAATCCAATAGAATAGGGGTTTGTTTCCTACCTGAATGACTTGAGTATGATGAGCTAAATTCTGAAACAAACAGAATCCTGGTTTTCACACTCAGATTGGCATCTCTCCAAGCTGCAAGAAGGTGATTTCCTCCCATCCCTCCCATTAACAAAAAAAAAAAAAAGAAAGAAAAAGAGCTTTCTCCATTTCCAAGCTTCTGTCTGATGCTGCATTTATCTACAGGTCGTCATTGGAGACAAAGTAGTCCTGAATCCTGTCAATGCGGGCCAGCCTCTCCACGCCAGTAGTCATCAGCTTGTTGATAATCCAGGATGCAATGAGGTAAGGGCAGACTGATGCAGCCAGAGCAAGTGCCAGAACAAACCTCCTTATGTTTCAGCTAAACTGCTAGGACTGGTGTTTTATGAAAATCAGGTTATCAGCTGCTTGGTACCTGTGGCATTGTGGTTATCTTGTTAATCAGCAACTGAATACAGCTGTCAGACTTCTGCCATATCTGTTGGGCACTGGAGAGTGGTTTGAGTTTGATCTCTTTGGCTTGACTCACTAAAAATAGTGTTTTTCTTAAAAGTCAAAAGTTGTGGCACAGTGATGGATAGCAAGTGACTTCTTATGAAGTTAACTTGTCCTGGAGTAAATGCAGTACGAGCTTTCCTTCTCTAATGCAACAGGGACTGCTGTATTCTGTTGAAAGTAGTCTAAAGGGTGAGGCAGTACTTTGTGGCAGTGTCTTGTGCAGGCACAAGACAGTGGGGCTGATGGGTTTGGTTCTCCTTTTAGGTCAACTCTGTGAATTGCAATACAAGCTGGAAAATAGTCCTCTTCATGAAATGGAGTGATAACAAGGATGATATTCTCAAAGGGGTAAGACTCAGAGCTCTTAATTGCTTGAGACTTGCTCGCTGATGGGTGATGCCTGTATTGACCATGCTGTCTGGGCTTCGACAGGGAGATGTGGTGAGACTGTTTCATGCAGAACAGGAGAAGTTTCTGACTTGCGATGAGCACAGGAAGAAGCAGCATGTCTTCCTGAGAACGACGGGGAGGCAGTCGGCCACGTCTGCAACCAGTTCAAAAGCCCTGTGGGAAGTAGAGGTAAGAACTGTAACCCAGGTCGGAGGCAGCTTCATAGCAAAAATTACTGTTTCTGTTTAAAAACATTGTACCTGGATTTCTTTTTTTAGCCAAAAGTTTTCCTGGTGTTAGAAGTTTAATCTTAAAATTCCTTTACTAACTGTGGTTTCTGTCCAAAATCAAAAAGAGGTTCTCATCTCTAATGCTACAGCAGATAGCTCTCAAATTCAGCTTCTTGACAGTGCGGAAAGAGGGGACAGAGAAGCATCTATGAAGCAATTTTCTTACCATCCACTGAAGTTCAACACCAGTTCAACACACTAATAATTTCAACTGTCCTGCTGAGTGTACCGAACACTCTACCTTGGTGGGGAATGATGCGATTATGCACATCCTCATCTGACAGGAGACTGCAGCCCTTTGCTAGTCTCTGTGTATTGTTTGTCTGGACCATTTTTCTTTTTTTGGCATTTAAATAGTGAGACTTAATACCTTGGCCATAATTGGCTTCTTAAAATATCCTCACTTTATTGGTGTGATTAGAGTTGTTTTATGATTTTAAACATTTGCCATGTGACCTGCCTGTGAGAATCATAAAATTAATTGTAATGGGGGAGAAGTGTTTTTCATATTCTCTTTCTGGGCGTATCAGATTTGATATAGATTGAAAGCCTATCTAGAATTAACACTACTTTGACATGTTACAACACGTGCACATCTAGAGGTCCTTCTTGATTTACTTCTCTGCCAACTTCCACCATAACCTTCCTGCCATCACTCACCAGACCAATGGAGTACTGGCCATGGTCAGTGACTTTGCAGACAGGTCTTGTCACTTGACAAAGCACAGAAAATTAATGTTCGTAACTTGTTGAGGTGAACTAATTGTAGTCTGCTCAAAGTATTTACTGTGCTGTGGGTTGTTGACATATGAAAGGTTGTTTCAACTTTTCTGGAGCTCCTCATTCTGTTTCCTCTTCCCTGTGCACGGAATACAGTCAATGCTGTGTTTGAGAGGGAGGACACTGACCTATGGTGTAAATGTGATTTCCTTTTCTTTTTAGGTGGTGCAGCATGATCCCTGTCGTGGTGGTGCTGGATACTGGAACAGCCTTTTCAGGTTCAAACACCTTGCTACTGGACACTACCTAGCAGCAGAGGTAGGTGTTGGGGCTGGCTTAGGAACTGTGCCTTCCCTTCCACAGAATTTTCTTCCTTTTGCACCTTCTGAAAAATCTCTCATTTCCTGCCCTAAAAATAGACACGAGAGGGGAGGAGAGTGATCTTTGGGTCCTTGGTATTAATACAAAAATAGATGGCTAAACATAGAAAACATGATGAAAGAGACTTGAAAGAATACCACAGTAGAGGAGTAGTCTTGAGCTTATTTCACTCTTTTTATGAATTCTAAAGGCAATAACTTCTCCTGCAAAGAACAGACACTAAATAATGTCCTGTCATGTGGGCAGTAGAATCAAGATGCATTTATTAATAGATGATTAAATTGTAAATAGTTGAGAGCCTTTAGGGGAAAATTAATTCAACTGTTGTTAGTTTCTCTTGAATCACTGATTTCCAAGTGGAATTGTAGAACTGAGTGTGAAATTAAAATGCAATTGGATTTCAGACCAGTATTGTGAGAACTGCAGATAACGCTTAGTTGTCCAAGCACAAAATAAATGAGTCCTTTTTTTCTCTCCATGGTGGACATCATTCCCCTGTTGAAATATGATTTCAAGATATTTTATTTTTAAAATAGTGTTACAATTTTGTGATTTTTGCTGCTTAACACTTGTAAATGTTTATTAAAACTACCTCTATTTACTTATTGGTATGTGTCAATATGCCAATACACAGACCTCAGTATGTAAAAGCTGTCCTTGCTGTACCAGTGCGCAGCAGGACAGAAGGGCTGTCTCAGCCCATGCTATTGACCTGAGAGCTTCAGTGGGAAAAGTCCAGATTAAATATCCCATTTTATAGTCTAATAAGCAGATTGGGAAAACAGCAGCATTTTGTCACATGTGTCACATGCACATTTGCAATCCTTTTCAGTAGTGATCGAGTATAGAGCTTTTCCAGTATGTCTTGGGTTGCTAATCAGGCAAAACAAAAACGTGGCCTTACTTCATGCAAAAATATACCACAGGAGGTTGCTCACCTGATCCATGGTTAGAATGATGTTTGTTCTAAAAGATTCTGCCAAGCCAGTAATTTCTAGTTGGAAATTCCACTTGGAATTTAAAAAAAAACAAACAAACAAACAGGAAAAAAAAAACCAACAGCAAAAAAACACCCCACACACACACAAAAAAAAACCAACCAAAACTGAAACTTGATAACTCTTGCTCTTTTAGCAATTATGCTGTACAAGATAAATCTCTCTGCATGTCTGCAGATTACTTAACTGCTTGATTCATGGACAGACAGATGCCCGATTAGTAACAAATCGTTTTGCACAGGATATTCTGTATGTCTGGTAGTGCTGTAGCAGTAGAGTGCATTTTTTAAAGTAAGTTTAGACCGCGCTGCGGTTGTTTCCCACTTCCAGCTCTGTTAGAGTTTTGACATGCCTGTGATTCTGTTCCATCAGGTAAACCCTGACTATGAGGAAGATGACCTGGAGTGTCAATCCTCAGTAAGTATAGGCAAGAGTATGATCTTGCCCCTGATTGAGAAGGGCTTGACACAGGCTCAGGTGTTTGCCTGGTCAGTGCATAGATGGTCCAGACTTTGCTCTTAGTGAGGAAACTTAAAAACCTGAGAATGATCTGAAGGCTTTTAAGGCCTATCCAGAGAGTGGATATTGAAAACTGGCTTAGGCCTTAGTGATGAGCAATGCACTTGGAACTGCATTTATACATTACCTGGACCCCCTCGCCTCCCCCCTTTGTAGCATCTCTTTTTCTGTCTTCCTCTCTCTTAAATCTTTTGCTTCCTTGAAGCATTCCCTTGAGTAGGTCTGAAAAGCAAATTGTTCAAGGTGACACTGGATGGCAAGTGTCCCTAATGGGATGCTCACATAGAGTTGTGCCAGTCAGTCATCTGACCCCCTTGTTGAAGAAACAAATTCCTTCTCTAATTTTAGCTTGTCACAGAAATAAGGAGTCTAGAAGGCAAGAATGGCAGGGTGAGAATGATTTCAGTGCCATTCTTCTGATTTACCTGTGAAAGTAAGTCTCGGTTGTTTCCAGTAAATGTTGTTGTGTCAAAGATGGAGTGTGCTCATGCTTTGTACTCGTAGGAGATTCTCCTTGGTGTCAAACAGAAACAGTGTTGCTTCAGTAGTTGAAAACAGATGGAACTGGAACAGCGCTTTCCATTGTGGGTTACAGGGGTTTTTTTAGTTCTGTTTGATTGTAGGCTTATGCAGCTTTCCTGGTCACTTATCCTGTATTATGGAGGATTTGCTCCATTTGGATATGCAAAAGAACTACTTCTCTGATTTTTAAAAATGCACTGCAATGCTTTGAAAACCTGTGAGGTGGAGTTTTCCTCCTAAAAGGATTGTTACTATAGCCTGGCCATTAAAACGCTTACCCTTGTCCCCAGATATTGAGCTGTTATCCTTATTAGTTCTTGGTGGTAGTTGGCAGCAAGCACTGATCTTCTGACAGCCAGATTTTGCTAAATATACTGGAAAAAAATGGAAAAATTGAACAAAAAAACCCCCACAAAACTGTTGTTCGGGTAGAGAGGGGATCTGACATGGAAATATTTTGTTGGCTTAACTTTTTCAAAGTTAATCAGTGCCGAGGTCTTTTATGTAGACAACCATGCTACTAGTGCTGCAATGATGTCTGCATCTGATAATCAGTGCAGTAATAACGATAACGCACTGGCATCAGAGTTGTGCAGATTTTCCCCTGCTCTGTCTCTTTGCCACTAGGTGGCAAAAACAGACCATAAAGAATGGGATCAGGAGCACATAATTCATTTCTGACATAAAATTACTGCATAGTTTAACATGCCCTAGTGAAAGGATGATGTAGGCTGCTTTATCCAACTTTATCCAAACTCCAGCATTATCCGAATGTGAGATGTCTTCAAGATGGCAGATTTCTTAGTGCAGCTCTGTTTTATTGGCTTTTTTCCCTCCATGTTCCCTCAGTGAGCTGCATAAGAATGGGGTTTAAATGGGCTTGGGTGAGATCCCAGCTATAGTGCCCTTGTAACAATAAAGGGGACTGCTTTCCTCAACTTTGGGGTTCAAGTTTTAGTTCTCCCTAAGTTGCCCCATGTCCTACTTTCTGACTTACTGCTCATTTTCAGCTCTGCCACAGCGTCAGCAACTGGCCGGTTGTCTCCTGAAGTACAAATTGTGACTGCAGAGCAGATGCCTTACTATAGGGATGAAAGAGACAGCTGAAATTCGGAGAATTCATTCCAAGTGAGCGAGTTTCTCCTGCTGTAAAGCCTCCAGATGGACTCTCTTCATGTATAGTGGCTGCTTCTCTTGAAGACACACTCCCAAAGTGTATTTCTGTCCCGTACAGCTAACTGTCTGTTCCCATTTACAAAACCAGACTTTAAATGTCACTGCTTTGCAGCCAAGTTCATTGACTTCAAACATGCTAACTACAGAGTATCCCAAGGCACAGGCAACATTAGAATCTTTTTCTGTATGTTTAAAGACTGCAGTGCCCTACACCAGGACTTTGAAAGCCAGGTACTTGAGTTGTGACTGCTTTGGGTGCCTACCTTCCACTGGTGCCAAGATCAGAGAGAAGCTGCTAAAACGGTTGCTTGATCACTTTGAAAATTAGACCTAGGATTTAGATGTTTGTACATGGACAGCTGGTTCCTGTGTTGTCAGACAGTTAGCAACTTTCTTATTGATTAATGGTAGCTGGTAGTTCCTTAAGAAAGGTTTTAGAGAAAGTTGTAATTCCTTTTTCCTAGTTCATCTTTATTTTTTCCTACCCTTTTGTCCTTTTCATCTGAAAATCCCGGGTTTTACTCATTTGATGTTAGTATCTTTACTTTGTTAAAGGAGGCTGGTAACTTGCTAGCACCTTGGAAATAAAGATACTTCTGATGCCTTGTCCTTTGTAGCTTGTCATTGTGTTTGAGTGCATCATAAGCTGAAGTGTGAACAGCAAGACAGCTGACTTCTTGATTAGCTTTTGTTTCATTTGTCTGTGAATGATAGGTGTGAGTCCTGGTTATGCTGCTGAAGTTGATTATTTCCCAGCAAGATTGTTGGTACATAGTGTTGCTGCTTTATATATTTGCAGCTGACGTAATTGCTCTGTTAGAATGATAATTGCAGTACATTAAATTTCAAAAGCCAGTAGTGTCAGGGGTGGGAATTTTAGCACATGTGGGTCATCTGAAACTAAGTCAGAGATCCCATTGTGCTGTGGGGTGAATGGCCCAGGGATTTGGAGCCTCTTCTGGCACTGTCTGCAGGACATAACCTCTGTGATTTAGGATTCATTGTGTTTGTTCAGAAATACTCTGAAGTTAACACCAGGGAACGTGAAGAAATGGTTGGCAAGATCAGCCACTTGCCAGTTTTACTGGTGTCCTAAACCACGCTTGGAGTGTTCAGAGCTGTGTCTGCAAATTACAGGACACTTCTGTGTAACAGTAGGCAGGTGGGTCTGGAGGGCTTGGTCTGACTGTGTCTGATGGGACTTCCTCCACAGCTGGACCCTGAGCAGGATGCCTCCAGAAGAGGCTTGTACAGTGCTCAGGAGAAGATGGCATACTCGCTGGTGTCTGTGCCCGAAGGAAACGACATCTCCTCCATATTTGAGTTGGACCCTACCACCTTGCGAGGAGGAGACAGCCTTGTCCCCAGGTACAGCAAAGCATACTCTTGGAACTGACTATCTGCTTTGGAGTTTTATTATTATTATTTATTTTGAGGTAAAGCTGGTTCCCACTCTTTGTTTGCTTTTTTATCCTTTGGAATTAAGATTCTTCTTCAAATTAATATAGAAATACTTAGCAAGTGCTTGAAGCTTTCCTTGAGTACTTTACAACTGAGTTATAAGTAACAGAATCCCATTTTATGGATTTAGTGACTTCCTTGCCAGTGAGCAAACTGGAACTAAAAGCCTTGGGAGTCAAAAAATTCTCGGTTTAGAAAATATAAAATTGATATCAGGGAGTTATGGGCTGAAGAATACAAAGGAAAGGGAGGAAGCTGGCAGCTCAGGTATGCTATAGCTTGTAGAAATGTCGGGACTTAAAAGAGGATTAATTTGTTACTGTGCAGCAGCTGAGTTAGAGCAACAAAATATAGATGTAGTTCTGTTTTACAGAAGATATCTATTTCATTATATAAGAAGACTTCTTAAGGTGAATTTATAGAATGAAATAAGGAAAGAAGAGTCTTATTCCTGTTATGGTATGCAGCATGGATGAAGATTACACTCTTTTCCCCATTTGTTCCTGCCAACATGTTGCAATTTGAACAAAGTGAAGATTTCCCATCTGGGAAACCGACTCATGCCTTGAAACTTTTGACTTTCTTTCAGGAACTCTTATGTCAGACTTAGGCACCTTTGCACTAACACCTGGGTTCATAGTACCAATATACCTATTGATAAAGAAGAGGAGAAACCTGTGATGCTTAAAGTAAGTCCTGTTACTTTATATAAGCACATTCCTCAAGTCCTGTACGGTCACAGAAGTCATGTTGGTAGAAGTTCCAGTCCCTTGAGACTGCTGGGTTTGTCAAACAGCAAGCAGCCTAACAGCAATGAATAGTGCCTGTGCAAAATGTTTTATCTAAAAGATTAGGTTTTCATAGTAGGTTACTAGTTACACTGTTCAATTTCTGCTGTACCGTAGCAATCAGAAGGAGAACTTTTTCCACTGTTTACAGCAACATTTTGCTGTCTCTCCTGCTGGTTCTCTGGATTTAGGAACACATTTGAGCTTGCACTGAGTGGTACTGTTCTCAAAGTTCAGCTTCACGGTAGCCTCATACTGTCTAAGTGGAACGTGGCTATTTCCTGTTTTATTATCACTGAGCACGTGATTTGCTACTTGGTTATCTACCTTTTGGTTTGATGATAAGACTTCTCTGGGTTTCAGATTGGTACTTCTCCAGTGAAAGAGGACAAAGAAGCTTTTGCTATAGTACCAGTTTCCCCTGCAGAGGTTCGGGACTTGGATTTTGCAAATGATGCAAGCAAGGTTTTGGGTTCCATTGCTGGCAAGTTGGAAAAGGGAACAATAACACAGAATGAGAGAAGGTAAGGAAGCAAGAATTTGGTTCAGATAAGGGTGTTTCCTTTACTCAGTAACTGTTTCTTTGAAAATTTTATCCATGCACGCTATCTTCAGGAGAGGGATTTTGTTTCCTATTTGATTAGATATTTATTAAAAAAAATTGATGGTTTTATTGTTGATGTGTCCATAGTGGAGGTTTTCAAGCCTGTTCCATCAAGCCCTCCCTGTTGCTCTGAAATGAGAGCATGAGAACTGTTGTTGTGAACTTGCAGGAATAATCCACAGCATACCTTTCTTGATGGGCTTTGCAAATTGAGTGTGGGAATTTATAATCCACCTTGTGAAGACTGAACGCATGACTTCTCGCAAATCCTCTGACAACGTCCATAAAAAGTACATGGCCACACAAAAGGAGCGCAGAGTCGGCTGTGTAAAACCAAAGCCCTTGTGCTTCTGGAGCCAATGTCTTTTGTTTGGCCTCAGGAGAGATTATCACCAGATTTTTTTTTATTTTTTTTTTCCTGGCAATTTAAGGAACTGCCAAATAGAACTTGTCGAGCATATAGTTGTCCTTAAGTCTTACTGCTGCTGTGGTTTTGCTATTAGACCATAAGGCTACAGCAATAAGGAGCATCAGTTCCTAATTTTAAGTTCTGTACAAATCTGAGTCGGTCTCTAATTGATGCTCTTTTTTCACTTAGCATTTTGAGATCTATGTAAGCTTACACAGGTATTGTTCTTGTAACAGAATTTGTAGTCTTGTATCAACAACTTGTGACTTTTCTGTAGGTCTGTTACCAAATTGTTGGAGGATTTGGTTTACTTTGTTACTGGTGGAACTAATTCTGGACAAGACGTCCTTGAAGTAGTATTTTCTAAACCTAATAGAGAACGGCAAAAACTGATGAGAGAACAGAATATTCTAAAGCAGGTAGGCTGCATTTTTCTCTAAACTGTGCCTACAAGGATTGTCAGAAAGGAGAAGCTAATAACAGAGAACCTGGCCAAATTACTGAGACCAAAAGATCCTTTGAGTTCCTGGCTTTCAGCAGACTCTTGGCAGGGGACTGTGTGCATACCATTACCAGAAGAAGAAATTACAGAATATGGTGTTGAATAAGAGTAATCAACAACGTCTTCTGTCCAGGCTGCTCTGTGGCCAAGAAATCTGGCAACTGTAGTGTATTTCTGATATACCTTTTAGAAATTTAAAGACATTGACACAATACTTTTAAATTAATTTTAATCAGAGGAAGGCAGTGCCTCATGGGTTTTCTCTTTTTTCTTAATAAATCTATAGATTTTCAAACTGTTGCAAGCACCGTTTACGGACAGTGGTGACGGCCCGATGTTGCGCTTGGAGGAGCTTGGAGACCAGCGCCATGCTCCTTTCAGACACATATGCCGGCTTTGCTACAGGGTGCTGAGGCACTCTCAGCAGGATTACAGAAAGAATCAGGTTTGAAATGTCTGTAGCCTTCAGTGGTGCTAGCATTGCTCCTGTGCTCCAAAAAAATAAAAGCTACATTCCATTAGACCCAGCTATGCTGTGCTGTCATCATACAGTCAGCAAGAGATTTTTGGATTGCTCAGTTTTACTCTATTTGGTTAGTTTTCATCTCTATCCGAGACTATATGCAGTGTGATTAGTACCAGTTCTAAGGGGAATTTTAGAAAACAACAGAATTGCTAACTGTCACATCCAGGTGAATTATAAGACTTTCTTCACCTGTGTGTACTCTAAGCTCCATTGAAAGTAGACCTGTGAATTAAGGATGTACGGGGTTTTTTGCCACTTATTAAAAACAAAACACATAAGAAGAAATGCCTTGGTGGTGTCTAGCCCAGGAGGGAGGGAGATGTTAAGGTTATCTGTCATCACTTGTTTTTCTGAAAAATAAAATTTGAGTATAATCCGGTTTGCTTCTTGGGATGTCGTTATTGACAAGCTTCTTACTGTTTTCTGTTATTATTTCCTTAAATTCTGCAAATTAATGACACCACGTTCTTTCTTCCCTCTGTGTTTTGAAGGAATACATTGCGAAGCAGTTTGGCTTCATGCAGAAGCAAATTGGCTACGATGTCTTGGCTGAGGACACTATTACAGCACTGCTCCACAACAACCGCAAGCTCTTGGAGAAGCACATCACGGCTGCTGAGATTGACACTTTTGTTAGTCTCGTGAGGAAAAATAGGGAGCCCAGGTGAGATCTGCATTTTCGAGTATATGATTACCCTTTTCCTCTTAGCCTTCTGAGAAAAATCTATACCTGCCAACTGGCTAGTAAGGAAGCACAGCTAGTTCACTTCTTTTTTTGGCACTCGCCGTAGCTTCTCCCTTGGGCAACAGTCTCGCTCTGCAAATGTTAAAATGGAGTTCTGAGTGTTTTCTTTCTGAAATGTAGATTGCTTTAGTCTAGATCTCAACAAGGATTGATACCCTTCTGGCTCGCGTTTTCCAACAGGTTTCTGGATTACCTCTCAGATCTGTGCGTTTCCATGAACAAGTCTATTCCGGTGACACAGGAGTTGATTTGTAAAGCCGTGCTGAATCCAGCCAATGCAGACATTCTCATTGAAACGAAGTAAGTTAATGCCTTTAAAGATGGTTTCCCTAGTGTGAAGCAGAAGGAAGGTAATTCAAAGCTGAGAGCACTGCTGGCACGTCTAGAGAAAGCAGTTAAATATGTGTGGGGTCTTCTTCAAATACACAGTATAGGTGACAGAACACGTCTGCCATATGTGCTCTTAGTCCTGCAGTCAGAGAAATCTTTCAAATCTCTCACGTTTGATCAAAGTAGACAGACTTTGCAGGAAGGTGTGCAGGGTCCTGTGGGCCTGCTCCTCCTCTGGGCTTCAGGCTTTCCTCCGTGAGCTGTCTGAAGTGAGCAAGCACTTTTTGGGTGCATGCCCACTGAGCTCAGCTTGCAGCAAAGCAGAAGCTGATGCGTCTCTGCTCACCCAGTTTTCTTTCTGCGCTTAGGATTTTGCTCTGCAGCTCTCAGCATTGCCCTGCCATTGCTGAAGCCTCATAGCAGGCACCAAATCCCAACTGTCTTTCATAAAACAAAGTTTATTCAGTATGTGGAATAGGGCATGGATAATCATTATCAAAATGCTGTAAAAAAGCAGCAGGTCTTTAGCAGGTACTATTTAAAACACAAATGGATGAGAGTATTGTGGCACATTTAATTCTTTTTGTGAAATCATAAAGGCTGTGTTTATTTCCACCAGCCGTTAAAGTTGCTGCATCACTTGTTTATTCTTACCCTTCTGCATTTAATTTGTCTTTTTTTCAGATGAATGATCTCTTTTTTTCCTGAAGAGCAAAAAGCCCCCACAGCCTTTTAAGTTTTAGTGGCTGATTTGTTTCTAGTTGTTTAGCCACATAAGCAGAAAGAAGCTCTGATCTAATTGGCATTTATGGGATACAGAACTAATTGACTTTTAGGTATTTTTTTACCAAATCCTTTCCTAGTCTGTTCAGTGATCTTTTAACCAGTTCTACTGTAAATATGTTTTTGAAAATCAGTTAGACATGCCCAACTTTCTTGTTTCTTTATCTTAATCAATTGCATGGAGCTGAAATGTTAGTATTTTTTAAGGCTGAATAGAAAGCTTTTAATCTAAATTCGTTGTAACCTAATGCTTGTAATAAGAAAATGAAAAGTTTTTTTTGTAGTAAACTGGTACTGCTGAAAGAGTAAGATACTCTGCTTTTACTCTGCAGAGTTGAAGAATAAAATTTGTATTTTCCGAATGCAGGTGAGATAATAAAATCAGTTATTTCTGTATCACCAGTGCCTTTTAGCAAGTGTCTTAAAAGAAATGTTCTAAAAGAGTTGCATGGGTCTGGGCAGTTTGTAATCCAACCTAACTTCCTTCTGGCAGGTTGGTCCTCTCTCGATTTGAGTTTGAAGAAGTGTCAAGTGGAGAAAATGCCTTGGAAGTTGGAGAAGATGAGGAAGAAGTGTGGTTGTTCTGGAGAGACAGTAACAAGGAAATCCGCAGTAAGAGTATCAGAGAGTTGGCGCAGGATGCCAAGGAAGGGCAGAAGGAGGATCGGGACGTACTCAGCTACTACAGGTTAGCAGCATGCACAGTAGTTGGCTTGCAGAGTTCACCAAGGCTGTGTGGGGAAACATTTGATCTATATAGGCTGGCGTTGGTTTGGGAGAAAGAGTACTGGTTTTGTGGATGAAATAGCCACTTAAAGAGTGAGGATGAAGTCTCTTTGAAGTGAGAGCTAAAAGCACAAAGTTCTTTGTGGTGAGAAGTCAAACTATCAGCATGAGCAAGTTTAAACTGATTTTAAAAAATCCCAACAGTTGAGGCTTAGAGTGCATTGAATTTGCACAGCACTTAATGCCTGTATTTCTCCTTGGTTTCTTTATAAGCTGGTTGTGTGAGAGAGCCTGTGTTAACTGTTTGGATTACCTGTATTCAGATGGTAGTTAGGGTGAGCAACCACTTGTGGGAAGAAAAGGATTTCAACATGCAGATGGCTTTGCTTTTGATTTTAAAGAAGTCACTGCTGTTCTCCCTGCCTTCTAGACTTCTCTCTAAGCTCAAAGCTATTAGTGGTCCTGTAGTTCTCAGCAGGACAACATATGAAGTTACAAAAATGCCACAAGTGTGGTTTGATTAATGTGCAGTGCTCTTTTGTACAGCTTGAGCTATGCTTTTAGCAGTTTCTGACATGAAGCGATATTTCCAAATGACTTGACAAGACACCAAGTTCTTGGCATAGTGTAAGGTCAGGTTTCACCCCACACCAAATTCCTGTGTCTGGGTTATAAACTTCTGAGAGTAGTTTCATGGACTCAGTTGTGGTGATGCAGAAAGTACAGCTAGATGTTTTTATTTTAATAGCTATCTTATTTTGCATTATCTCTTCCATAGAAGTGGTTCTTGCAGTAGACTTCCAAATACATGGTTTTATTTGACCCCATTGGAGGGGCTGAGCTCAAAAGGAGACCTCTTGCACATAATTTTTAAAAATTAGATCTGCTTTCAACGTAGATTTTCTTACACTTGTTTTCAAGTAGAATTGATCGTGTTAATTAGTTTTAGTCTACATTATAGACTTTTAAACATACTTAAAAAAAGGGTTTAGGCTACGATTTGGTCAAACTCCCGTGGAGAGTGCTGAGAGTGAAAAGGAGTCTGCTTCCAATTAAATGTTCATTCCTTTAGGAAACCTCACACTATTTGACACAAGCCTCAATGAATGTTGGACACGTGCTTTATGACTGAAGGCTAATCTTCTGTCTGTTGAATGCACATGTCTTAAATGCCAGTTGCTTGCTTTTAATTTATGGACGGAAAAATCTTAGAAATTAAGTTCAGTTTTTCTCTACCAAGTCTTTGAAGGGAGCAGGGCTCAGTAGTTGTTTAATCAGGTACCTGATTTTTGATGATGCTGTAGTCCATCTGCATTGTTGCCTGAGTGTAAAACGCTGGCTTCAGCATCAGTAAGAAGTGTTTGGTCTTCTACAGTATTTAGGCTGAGCTGCCTTAAGTGTTCTTTGGATTCTTCTGTAACTTTTATAAACAGCATTATTTCATTCTGTGTAACTCAGGTAAACATGATGACTCCTTTTATGCTGTTTTTCCGCTATGTTATCTTTTACTATTGTTTCGTAAGTACCTTATACTTTCTGTAATAACTATAGCTATTTACTGGAAAATACAAGATTCATTCTCAAAACACATAACACTGCATTAGTACTATACCCAACGGACACTTCTGGAAACTGAAGTATTTATGTATTTTTATCCCCTAAAGATACCAACTAAACCTCTTTGCTAGAATGTGCCTTGATCGACAGTACTTAGCCATAAATGAAATATCTGGACAGCTGGATGTGGACCTCATTCTCCGTTGCATGTCTGATGAAAACTTGCCCTATGATCTGAGAGCATCTTTCTGCCGGCTAATGCTTCATATGCATGTTGATCGTGACCCTCAAGAACAGGTGACGCCAGTGAAGTATGCTCGTCTCTGGTCTGAAATACCTTCTGAAATTGCTATTGACGAGTAAGTATGTGCTGACATGGTGTGGGAAAAGAAACTGCATCACTCTTGATTTTTAAAACAAAACCAGATCAATCCTAAACTCACACATTATTTCTACTGTTTCTGTTTAAAAATAAAAAATAACAAATAAAAATCCACATAATGTATTCTCACTATTTCCATTATTCAGACCCTGTAGTTTCGTTTGCCTGTAATGTTTGCTGGAGAGAACCTTCCTGAGGGCAAAATAACCTCCCTGTGTGTGCGTGGCAGCAGGGTTTGTCTCCAAAACGCTGTGATCCCGCAGCAATGGTCAGTCTCTGAGTTCGAGGATGTGACGAGCGACCTGACTCTGGAGAGTGAAAGCAAGGGAGGACTGTTGCATTTTTCCTCCTGCCTTGTTTGATTGGAGTATAGACTCTTCAGGGCAGATTGTTCACTCAGCAGTACATTTAAAAGCAAAACCAAGGAGGGAAGACACTGGAACAAGTCATGTGCTGGAGACAGAGTTCAGTTCCTTAACATACAATGGAAAATACCATGATGCAGTGGTGAAAACCTATGCAAAACCATAGCTGGACTAGAGACATCATTTCTTGCCTTACATTAACTCTTCATACTACAAGTCATTAAAAATTTATTGTACTTCAACTGTTCGGAACTCAATTTCCTCAGTTGGAGAAAATGAATGTTTAAAATTAGTGTTAAATGTTAGGAATTTGAGTCCTGTCTCTATTAGTACTGGTGTTCAGTGGTTTCTTGTTTTTCCCTTGCTTCCCTCCTTGCTAGCCTGGTTTTCTTTGCTGAGTGAGAATACAGTAGATCATATTCAATTTTAAATGCCAAAAGAGAAAAACAAATGGCTTCAGCTGTGTCACAGGCTGAACATGATCAAACAGGGAAACAAAAGGAGTTACTGGAAAGCGGTGGTGTTTGTCTTTTTTGAATGCTTTCTGCACAAGCTGAGAAACAAACCTAGAATTTGTATTAAGAAAAATTACTGTCTGCTTTGCATATAGTTTATATTTGGAGATAAAAATAGCATCCACAGTCAGCGTTTCTTGGCCGTGTCCATTCTCCTTAATGGTGTACATAGCTTGTCATCGTTTCCGCTAAAGTAATAAGGGTTTCTTTTTTTATTTATTGGGACAAAATTATCTTTTTTGTTTTCCTCAGACATTTTAAATAGTGCAAAATGAGCATATGGGATAAAACAACAAAAGCCAGGAAATGATGGTGTCAGCTTCCTGACTCCCTTGTTTGGACAAGTTATTTAATAGCCTTTAACTTTTCTTGGATTTTGACAAACCATGAAAATTATGTTGGGGAAAAAGAGCCCTGTGTATTTGCATGCTAAGTTTTGTGTTTTGTTTTTTTTTGTTTTGTTTTGTTTTGTTTTTCCTCTTCAGCTATGATAGCAGTGGAACTTCCAAAGATGAAATTAAGGAGAGATTTGCACAAACAATGGAATTTGTAGAGGAATATTTAAGAGATGTGGTGTGTCAGAGGTTCCCTTTCTCTGATAAAGAGAAAAATAAGCTCACTTTTGAGGTAGTTATCCAGTTCTGTTTTCATCTTTTTTTTGTAATGTTGGTATTTTTTCAACACCAAGTAGATTGGCAAGTAATTAGTGAGTGCTGAGCCTCAGCAGGCTCCTCCTTGCCACTGTAGGCCTTGCTCCTCTTGCAAGCAACCCCACTGAAGTCTGAGTTTGCAATGAGAGTTCTTGAAATACAATTAATGAATGTGAGCTTAGGTCTTGGTTTTACAGCAGCTTTGTTTACTTTCTGTGCTCTCAGTGTTATTACAGAGTCGAGCTTTACTGGAATAAATACTCTGCAAAACTAAACACTATGTCTGCATGCACAGATAGCCTCTAGAGCTTACAGTATTACTCACAAGGAGAACAATAGTGTCCTCTGACTTACTGACCTATTAAAATAGTTTCTCTGTGCAAATAAAATGTAGCAAATCCATGCAATAATATTTCCTAAATAATGATTAATTTCAGAAATTATGTATGTCTTAAAAAAAATTCAAGGGATATTCTTCAGATAACTGGAGTATGTTAAATATTTGCACTATATGTGAAATTGCTGTATGTGGGTCTTGAAGCAGTGCATGTGGTGGAACTTTATAACTTGGTAGCAGTAAGCTTTAGATATGTGATTTTATTTGTTTTTTCTTTAAGACAAAATGATAAAAAGCATCTGTGCATTCCTTCTAGTCTTGACCTGTCTTACCTTTTCTGCAATGAGGCAAGCATGGTATGAGCTTGTAGCTATACAATATCAATAGCAGGTACAGACTGTTACTCTAGGCACTGCAGTATTTGTAGGCAAGTAGAAAACTTTCTGATAGAATGTAGAACTTTGCAGTCTTACAGAATTATGAGATACTATGATAAGAATATGATTCACAGGCAGGTTCTTAAAGTTTTCACTGTGTTAAGACAACTTGATTGTGATAGCAAAATGTTTAGTATTAATCAGGCTTTTTATTATTATTTTGTTAGGTTGTTAACTTAGCCAGAAATCTGATATATTTTGGTTTCTACAACTTCTGTGACCTCCTCAGACTAACCAAAATCCTCCTTGCTATATTAGACTGTGTGCACATCACTACCATCTTCCCTATTACCAAGATGGCAAAAGGCGAGGAAAGTAAAGGTAAGGCTGAAAAACAATTGGCAGAACAGATCATTCTTTGATAATTTCTAATTCATCTCAAAATGTCAACGTGAGTTCAGAAATCTCCCTACTTCTTTCCACGGCTTGTCTCTACAGCTGAGTAGTGCCTGCAATGAAAGAGGGGAGAGGGCAGGGGGGTTCTGAAAGTCCTGCAGTGCTGCTGTTGACTCCTGTCTGTTCCAGGGATTTAGGTGTCCACTTGGCTTTGTTTAATGTCGAGACAATTTCTCTTTGTAGGGTGTGAAGGGTCCTTGCCCTGTTAATGCAGTCCCATCACACCATCATAACCTTACCTGTTTGCCTGCCTCTCCAAAGGGAGCAATGTGATGAGGTCAATCCATGGAGTCGGGGAGCTGATGACCCAGGTGGTGCTCAGAGGTGGTGGGTTCTTGCCCATGACCCCGCTTGCTGCTGCTCCCGAGGGTAACGTCAAGCAGAGTGAACCAGAGAAAGAGGACATCCTGGTAATGGATACAAAGCTGAAGATCATTGAAATACTTCAGGTACTAGCAATGCAAATTAATGTAGCATTTTGTGCTGTCTTCAAGCATTAGTATGGTGCCATGCTGCCTTTTAAAATTCACTCCTGCCTTGTATCTGCCTCTTTTAAACTGGGAAAGTGTTGAATGGGTGACTTTTTCAGGCGTACGGCACTGAACTTGCATATGCTATTATGCCATTACTAAAACAATTTAAAAGAAATGAGTTTGTGATAGACATCTGCATATTTGCTGGTGATTTGTAAATATCTGACTTGCTGAAGTGGAGAGCTCATTTTCCACCTTATTGTCTTTGTAATTTCTCTGAGTCTACAGGGCCATCTTGTTAAGTGCCCTAAGGAAGGGGGAGATGCTTGAGACTCCTCTTCGTGCAGCCATCAGCCTGAAATGTTTTTTAAGCATGCACATTTGCCAGCTGCGCTGTCTCTTCCATCTCTGTCTGGCTTTTCTCACTTGTTCACTCCTAAGTCTTCAGGACACAGAGGAAATTTTTTTCCCTTTTCCACAGCACCACCTCAGTCTAGATGCTGCCACAAAATGCACTAAAATCTGTCTTCCCTCCCTCAGTGTAGGAGTCCCTTTTCTGTTCAGTAGCTTCATGGACAGGTTCAGGGAGCCCAGAATGCTGCAAAAACCCCGTGGGCGAAAGTACGCAAAGCAGCAGGGAAGCCATGGTGTCCCTTCCCCATGCCCCTGTGGGCGGCTTGGTTGTGCCCTTCCCCTCCACAGCAGGTGTAGCACATAGGGGAGGCTTGATTCACTTCCCTTCTCCTCTGCTAATTTTAGTTAAAGCCAGCACTTGTCTTATGGCCTGGCATGTTTTCCTGGGTTATACTGTTGCTTTATCACCCATTGCTTCTTCCACACCTGGGAAGAGAGGTTGGGAAAAGCAAAGGCGATCTGTTGGTTGAAATGGAAATAGATTTAATAAAATAATAAAATTAATATTAATAGCAGTATTAATATAAAGTACACAGAGTTATACTTGGCCAATACTGGGGGGGAGTAGACCTCACGGGTAGGATGGTAGACAAGTCCCTATTGAGATGTCAGCCATGGAAGATGGAAAGAGAAGGAGAAGAAGGGTTGTCCCCAGCTAACGCCCCAATTTATAGTGAATGTGACATTTGTGGTATGGAATAATACTAATTGGTCAGCTTAGGGTTAACTGTGGTGGGTTTCTGCTTTCCCCAGCCTCTGTACCTGATTACCTCAAGACTGCTGAAGACCTTGAGCATCACATACCAGTATTAGCTGAAAACTATAACAAAGTCTGATAACTTTGTTCCCATGAAATAGAGTGGTGTAGAAAACTGACTCTGAAATTCTGTCCCAGAAAACCAGGACACACGTGCAATGGGATATTTTAGTGTGCCAGTATTGCCTCTGCTCCTATGGTCTGTTAAAACTGGCATTAAGCATTTTCCTCAAAATTTGAAAGAACTGCAGGCGTTCTTTGCATTGTTCTCCTTTGCTCAAGAAGGAGGAAGACCACCAAGAGGCAGAGGTTTCTCTGGCCCTTGCTAGTGCAGCCCACCTGGTTGTAGGCACCTAATGCTCAGCATCCTCTGCCACAGCACCCCAAGAGTGAGGGGGACAGCAGCGCTGGTCTGTTAGATTCCCACTGGTTTTGAAATGGAGATAGTAATGGTGCTTTCCTTTCCTGGGGGCAAGGTGAGGATGCTTGTATCAGGCAGTAACTAGGGATCAAACATCCGCCAAAGTCTTTTACTCATAAGTATTTATTACTGTGTGCATATCATATGCTGATTGAAATCACAGGAAAAAAAAATCACCAAATTCTGGGATCTTTAAGAAAATGTTTGTATACCTCTTCTTCAAGTTAAATCCACATCTTTACCGTGTTGATCTTGCATGTTGGTAGCACTGCATTATGTGTAAATTTTACGTGTACTGGAAATAAGCAAGTTATTTCACCACTTTTACTACTTCTGTATCATCAGTTTATTTTGAACGTGAGACTGGACTACAGAATCTCCTGCCTACTTTGTATATTTAAACATGAATTTGATGAAAGCAATGCCCAGATGTCTGAATCGCCCACTGGAAGCAGTAGTCAAGAAATGCCAGCTAATGTACCAGGTTGGTTCTTTTTGCAAAGATTGAGATTGTGTGGGTTAGAGCCAATGTTAATCTTAGAGGTGCTGACTGGATCATCAATGCAGGTTCTTGCTTTGGTGTGTGAATGGTCCCACTGAAGCAGAGTACCCTGCTAGTGTTGGAAGTAGTAAAGTAAGGATCACTTCCATATACCCCAAACAAAACCCATTATTTATCTGTGCTATCTTCCTACTTGTGTTAAGTGTGACCTAGAACCTGTGATGCATCCTTTAAAAAAACCCAGAGAAAACCACTGTCATGTGTGATGTGTCATCAACCTCAAATTAAATCTTTTCTACTAATGTTTCTGGGTGAAGGAAACTAAATTTCCTCCATCTCTTTCCCCTGGCCTGATGCCTCTACCCACCCAAACTTCTCTTTTCCAAAGGTGGTGTAGGAAGATGAGGTGTCTCCATCTCAGTGCTGCTAGACAAGAGTGTGAAAGTGAGCTGTTGAGGAGCTTGTCATGTCCAGGGTTCATCTTAATTGAAAGCAGGATAGTCAATGGACTGGGTAGATGGGATGACATCCATTGCTATATTGCTTTCCAGGGGAAAAAGTGTCCTGTGGTTAAGACCTGTACTATGGAGGAATAACTGGACTCTTAGAAGTGCAGCTTTTTAGATATCATATGGTTTTTCTTCCTCAATTTGGGGACTGTATTGCTAGATGCAAAGGAGAAAGATAGGGAAAATGTAGTTTAGATGTGAAGTCTTCAAAGAGAGGAGAGTCTTTCTTTTGATCTCACTTCAAAAGGGCTGTGTTTACTTTTTTCTTAGGCTGCCTGTCCGGCAGCCCCCCGGGATGCCAGGGCCTTCAAACTGGGCTGGCAGGGAGAGCGAGAGCTCTTTCTGCAAGCTGAACTTTGGAAGAAAGGGGATAAACATTTTTGGCAAGAATGTAAAATCCACGTGTTCTCTTTCTGTCCCGCTTTGCAAATCTGTGTGAAATGTTGAGAGCTCCAAGTCTGTTTTACTATTTTTACTTTTTCATTTCAGAATGTTGGTCATTGCCCATGTGATAGTGTATACCTTATACTGAAAAATGCAAAGACCTTTTTGCCTCTTGAGCCACAGGAGTATTGCTGTCTTTGCTTGTGGATGCCCCTCTGAATGACAGCAGGTCCCATCGGTGTCCTGGAATGATGCCGGTGCAATCTAAAAATAGGCAAGAGAGTAATAAGTCTGGATGTTGCTGAAATTATTATGCAGTTTAATTTGTGAGCTGAGAACAGGTTTAAAGTAAATTAAAACAAACAATAAATTTATTGTCCTATGTTATCATAGCAAGCTGCTTCAGTAATCTCTCAGCATTCCTTTTGGCTTGTTATGACCCCCTCACTTAAACCTACATCACCACTTGCATTTTAAAATGTTTTTAAACTGCCAAAACATCTTTGGTGCAATTCTGACATAACGTATTTGTCTTGTTTATTTCCTCAGGAGCTCTAGACTTTGAACATATTGAAGAACAAGCCGAGGGGATCTTTGGTGGAAGGAAAGTATCTCTTCATTAGTGCTAATCATGGGGTAGCTCAGGAGTTCCTAGGCTGCAGGTTGCAAATATGGATTCCAGGCTGCAGGTTGCAGGTCGCGGGGATCTGCAATCCCCGAGGCTCCCAAGGAGTGGGGGTTGCTGTTGAAAGGGAGGTGGGAACTGGGGAAAGATTGGAAACAGCTGCCACAGTTACCTGAGCTTCATTTTCCTGAAATGTCTTTGATACAGCTCAAAACAGTGTCCGTTTGGATTGGATAAGGGGCAGGGGTCCTTCAGCTGGAAAAATCTTCATGGGAGGGCTTCACTTGTGGGTGAAAGCCCAGGGGGAGCATTAGTGCGCCTGAGCTGAATGCTGCAGTAAAATCTTAGCTGGAATCGTTTGTATAGGCAAGGATTGGGACTTCTACTGAGATGGATATCTATTTAGCCATCTTTTCCTTTTGTGCAATGCATTAAACTGCACATGCATGACAGAGCAAAGCAAGCTGTACCTTCCATACCTACCTTGCTTCCGGAGCAGCTTATATCCTTTCTTAAATCACAGAACAGCAAGTCAGGGACAGACTGCAAGTACTTGAGCTTGTCCTTAAGCTGCTCAGAGCTGCAGTTGTTTTCTGTAGACCTAAAATAACTGATTTCTTAAATGAAAGCAGAAGGGAAGAGAGAGATTCACTTACAGAATTAATAACCAGATTTTTTAATTTAAGTTTGCGGACTCTATTGGAAGCAGAATATGGGAAAGATTCAGGGGGCACTGATAGGAAAAAAATATATATATATAACATGGGTTTCTCATGTTGAGGAGTATTTCAAGTTTCTCATGAGGAAGATTTCAAGTGCTTGAAATAATTAGCATTGCAGCCTGGATAACTGAGGTAGGTTTTTATTTCATAATTATGAGAAAGGTTAGGACCAGGAATGGGAAAGAACTATTTGAGCATTAGGGTGAGGCTGACATAGGGACAAATATTTTGGCATAGATTAACCCTGAAAAATGTGAGTTGGATAATGTAAGCTGAGTGAACCATGATTAATGAGATTCTGGAGTAGCTTCCCTATTGAGCAGTATACCGAAAAGAAAAAAGGTTTGCTGCTGCTGCTGACTGTACTTAAGAACCTGTGGGGACATCTGGTCTAATATGCTGGTTAATGCTAGACTCTGTTTTCAGTGAGGAGAACACACCACTGGATTTGGATGATCATGGTGGCAGAACATTTCTCCGAGTTTTGTTGCATTTAACAATGCATGATTATCCTCCTCTGGTGTCTGGAGCACTTCAGCTGCTCTTCCGGCACTTTAGTCAGAGACAAGAAGTCCTTCAGGCTTTTAAGCAGGTATGCATGTGTATTAAGAGCATTATTCCTCATCTGAATGTATATATTGCACCTAAAAACAATCCCTTTGTGCCACTAATGGATTGCATTCATGTAAGGTTCAACTGCTTGTTACCAGCCAAGATGTTGACAACTACAAGCAGATAAAACAAGATTTGGACCAGCTGAGGTCTATTGTGGAAAAATCGGAGCTTTGGGTGTACAAAGGCCAAGGTCCTGATGAGGCTATGGATGGAGTGCAAGGTGAAAATGAACACAAGAAAAAAGAGGTAATTAGGTTGTGTTTGCACAAATTAATGCGTTAATATTTTATGAAGATGTGTTTCCAGAAATGTGACAAAAAGACATATTTACAGGACACTGCACAGCCTGGTGAGGCTATCCATATTGCTTTCAGGTTAAGGCAAGAATAAGAGGAGAACCTGAGCTAGTTGCCACCAAAAGTACCTCAGATAATGTCAGGACAGAGCTGTGAACCGTTCACGTGATGCATTTTGAATCATGGCACTATGATTAAGTGACAGAAGAGAATGGTGCTTTATCTGTACCTGATAATACCAGACTTTCTTGGCATGCACATCTGGCTTAGAGCTAATAAAACACCTTTTGCCTGCGTATAATTTGCAATCAAATAGAAAAGACTGAGTGAGGGAATTCAAGAAATAATCCCTGGGTTATGAACATTTATTGTTGGAAGTAAATAATTTACTTGTTGCTTTCTTTATGCGTAGTACTAAGGCATCTCTTGATATCTACGCGATGACAGTTAAAAATAGCAGAGAGGAAGAGACAAGTTTTTTAGGGGAGACTTGATCACAGAATATGACAAGCAAGGGAAAGGACAGGAGGTTGCTGTCTCTAAAATTATCCCACCCTCACCTTATTTTATGTTACCAAGGTCAATGGATAATTTACATGTATTTTTCTGAGACTGTCAAAAAACTAAAGGATGATGCGAGAGCGGGCACTACCCTAGAACGTTAATTGTAGCCTTCATAAAGACAGTAGTATAAGCTACTAATAAATTGTCTGATTTTATCCTCAGGAAGGTCACAGCAAGTCCCAAAAGCCTGAAAGTACTAGCAGCTACAACTACCGTGTAGTAAAAGAGGTAAAACTTTGCTTCTTGATAGTTAAATGGAAGTGTAAATGAGTAACACAGCTCTGGAGAGCTGCAGTCAGAGGGAGGCACCCAGGAAAGTCTGAGTCACTCTTCTATTGTGGAAACTATTTGCTGAGTAATAACATATCCCAGCTTGAATGAGAAGCCAGGCATATAACAAGCGTGACGTGTGTATTCTTTCCTTAAGGATGGATTAGTGGGAAATGCGACACTGCTGCTGTTTCAATGGTAACACAATATTTTTATTGTTAAAGGCTACTAGGGAAGTAAGCAAGTAAAGAAGCTATTTAATCTGCCCTGTCCTCAGTACTTTGCACTCAAAATCACCATGCTGTTGTAATTTAATTTAAAAAATACTGGACAAAGAGCATGTGTTGGCGTTGGTGTGGTGTGAGTCTTTCTGCGGCTCCGTACTGTGGAGCCCAACACTGGGTTCACTTGACACGGCTGAACTCTGTGGGACCAGCCCCAGTCGGAAGTGCCGTGGATGGTGCCCAGGCCAGTAAACTGCTTCTTTTGCCTGTGCCAAGTGGCACAAGGCTGCACTGGCTGCTGCATCCTCGCACGGGTGATGAGGGGGGTGGCAGACACCATTGCTGCCTTCTGCCTCCACGTTTCCCAGCAGCTCTCGGTTCCAGCTTGGTCCTTTTGCACCTCTACTGATGTTGCAGGAACAACTAGGCCTTAGCCTGGCCTTGGCTCCTCATATCCAGACCTCAAAACTTGATTTTACTGCCTAAAGCCGCTCTGGTCCATGAGGATGCGTTTTTCGCTGTTGCTGCTCTCTGGGAGCCACCTGACATGCTCTGAAATAAACCCAGAACTTCAGCTCTAAAGCAAGTCTCTCCTCCAGATCCTGCTGCGGCTCAGCAAGCTCTGTGTCCAGGAAAGCGCCTCCATCAGGAAGAGCCGTAAGCAGCAGCAGCGACTTCTGAGGAACATGGGAGCTCACGCAGTTGTGCTGGAGCTGCTGCAGATCCCTTACGAAAAGGTTGGCGTTTTTAATACCTCCTCTTAATCTTCCTGAACCTTCCACCTTAATATTGGATTGAAAGAGACTATTTTAGCTATTCATGTTTCAAAAATAGTCTTTGAATATACAGTGTTACGCAGTATTTCTTAAAGAATTATTTATCCATCGTAGCTCAGAGTAAGACCAAGGCTCAAGTCTTGGGAAATGTGCACTGCCTTGATTGAGGTTAAGCTATGTCAGTGCACGCAAGACCCTTGTTACTGCTATGAGGTAGCTGTATGACAGCCATCCTGGGAGCATGAAGGGAGATGAGGGTGCCTGGTCCCCCGTGGGATTTATTAACAGGTCTGCCCAGTAGTTAAACACAGCCACAGACCCTCCCAATTGTGAACTCCCAAAGTCTCCTTTAGAAACTAATAAATATCAACGGGCTCTCCAGGTGAGGACGGCTGTTCATAAGTAGCCGTATCAGAGTGCTGTGTAATGTCAGGGGTGCAGTTTGAAGCCCGTTTTGACTGGGTTGCTGTACAGTTTGAGCTGGCCCAGCACCACGTTGTGCTGATGAAGCACACCCTAAGTTCATTGTGTTGGCAGCCCATCAGTCACAGGTGACCGATCGTTGTCATTGCACAGGTGAGGGCACTCTTCACATTTTCCCAGCCACTCTGCTGTCCTGTGTTCCAGACTCCGCAGGTTTCTGAGAACCAGTAATTCTAGACAGTAGCTTTGATTAATGTTAAACTGAGTCTCACGTTGTCTTGCTTTGTATTTTGCTAAAAAGTCAGTAGCAAAACCATCCTCCAACACCTCTTGTCACCTTTATGTCCCATACGTGTGAATACGTATTGGACAGGCAGTGTGGAAGGTGTTTCACCCTTGGATATATAAGAAACTCCTTAAAAATAAAAGCAGACATTAATTTTCCAAACTGCGTTTTGTACCATCAGTGGTAATCCACATTGATGTCAGAGGAAAGGCACTGATTCCTGAACTGTAGTTGGAAGCGTGCAAGTAGTGAGCAGATTCCAGTAAATATAAATTGGGCTTAACTGTTGCAATAATAACTTTCCATCTCTTCTTTGCCATGAAGTACCTATCTGTCACTGCTGAAATGCATTTCAGTGGAACATGGCAATTTTCCTGTGCAGCCCCAAGGTGGTGATGTGTGGTTTGGCCACCGTACTGCTATGTTCAGAAGTGTTAAAGTGACTAAGGCACGTTGCTGGCAGGCTTGGCCCTGGAGTATGCAATTTTAGAGAATAAACTACTGTAATTTCTATTATGGTCTTTATTTTTGATGATCTTTAAAACTTTGAAGCAGGCCAAACTCATCCCTAGTGTCTGTGAACTGGGTGGAGGTTTGTTTTTCTTTGGAGTGTGAGAGAGACGTGACAGTTCCCTTGCAGAGCTGGAGATGCGGCTCATCCAGTACTCACCTGAAAGTGAACCTCAGATACTTCTTTAACCCCATCTTATTTGTCATGCAATCACAGGCTGAAGACATGAGGATGCAGGAGATAATGAAGCTTGCGCACGAGTTTTTACAGAACTTCTGTGCTGGGAACCAACAGAACCAGGCACTGCTGCACAAGCACATAAACCTGTTCCTTAACCCAGGGGTAAGAGTAACCTCATGCCATGATTTATTTTTTTTTCCTAGCAAGAACAGAGAATGGATTCTCCTTGGTAATCGCCTCTGGGCCTGTTCTTATGCAAGACTGGTTGAAGGGGTCACATTTTGTTTTCATTCTGGAGCCTTGAAAGTTGGCAAGATCTGTTTGTTTAGGACCACTGCAGTGTCGAAAGTCCAAAGGGCTGAAAAATAGGCTTAGATATGAGCTGTTGTGTTGAAAGATGAGGTCCTCATAAATGTTCTTTTCAGTCCTGCACCCTGCAGGAGTGTTGACTTTATCCTGACTTCTGTGTGGGTTTGGTGGTTTGTTTATTTTCTGATTTACTTCTTTCTTTCATCCCCTCCATTAGATTCTGGAAGCAGTAACAATGCAGCACATTTTCATGAACAACTTCCAGCTTTGCAGTGAGATTAATGAACGCGTTGTTCAACACTTTGTCCACTGTATTGAAACACATGGCAGAAACGTTCAGTACATAAAGTTCCTGCAGACAATCGTCAAGGCGGAAGGAAAATTCATTAAGAAATGCCAAGATATGGTAATGGCTGAGGTGAGAGCTGCAGAGATTTGCGAGGTCTGAACAGAAGTTTTCACATACCATTTGGTGAAAATGACAAATTGATCCTCTCGCTTCTGGGACTGCCAAGAAGCTGACAGTTAGCTCTCACAATGCAAAAAGAGCATACAGCTACCAGAAAGCATCGGCTTTTTTGTGACTCAAAGCTTTCTGAACTCTTCACCTATAGCTATAACGAGTGCTTGGTTATTTGTGATACTTAAAAGTTACTTCCCAGGCCTCTACACAGCAAAGCATAGGTGGGCTTAGGAAGCAAGGGTGCCTTTCTCTAGCAAAATTGGGTAGAATAGAAATAGTTTAATTTCAAGATCAGTAATGCAGAAGGAAAATTTTACCAAGACCGTAGAGTATTTTGATGGGAATTTCTTATCTTACCAAGACCTCCATATCCAGCTGTTTAAGTGCTGAAGGGGAAAAAGTCTGAGGGTCTTCAGAAATTTAGATGTGTAGGTAACTGGGAAATTGGAGTGTCAGGATAGAAGAGAGAGGTAAGAGAAGGGTGAACAAATCCCTTTAAGTTGGATATTGAATGTGACCTGCTTGACAGTGTGTTTGGACATCTGGCAGGTCTTTCATTGGCCTCCTCAGCAGGGGGAGCCCAAGGATCAGATTTGTCAAGCTCTGGCTCTTGTGTATCAATCTTAATAGATTGATCGAAGCTCTTCCATATTTTGACGTTCAGTTTAAAAATGGTTTCCTGAGCTTCTCAGCACAGAGCTGAGTTTGTGAGATGCTCCACAATTGGCTGCCATGGGGTTCAGCAAGTTGCTGGGAAAAGGAGCTTTTCTTGGGGGTTGCCCTCTGCGTTTTATTTAGCTGTCTGCCACAAACCCTGCAGGAGGGCAGCCCCAGATCAAGTGCCCAGCTTGGAGCAGGCCTCGGCTTCCTTGTTCTCCTTCCCTTCATGGAATTAGAGGAGGTCTGAACTGCTCTAAAAATGTGGTCATCCAGGTCTCCAATGTGAAGCTGATAGAAATCTTCAGTGTGTGACTTAACGTGTCACTCGCTCGCTCTGGAAAATTTATGATGTTTGCTCAGAAGGGTGGAATTACTGAGCCCTGCAGTCCTCCCATCCGGCGTGCCCCTGGGGCGTTCCTCTGAGGCAAACGGTATGTCTACAGCTAGCTGGATTAAAAAGTCAGTGGAAGCAATACATGCGAAATAAAAAAGCACAATGGAAAGTCACAAGCTTCTTGGCAGAACTTCTGTCTAAGCAGTCAGTTGGACTGACTTTGAAGTTCTTCAGCGAATTCTTTAAGAGAAAATGTCACACCCAAGTCCTCTGTCCCACGAAGGGAGCAGAAGAGGAATGCCCAGCTGACTTGGTGGGCTGCACTCCTGTAAAGTGTCTAAAGAATGGCTAATCGGGATTTGCACTGTAGCAGCCTAGAGATTAGGGAAGGGGGCTGTGAGAAGATGCATGGACTTTGATCTGCTGATGGAGTATATTTCTTTCCTGGTAGCTGGTGAATGCGGGAGAAGACGTCCTAGTGTTTTACAATGACAGAGCGTCCTTCCAGACCTTGGTGCAAATGATGAGGTCAGAGAGGGATCGGATGGATGAAAACAGCCCGCTGATGTACCACATCCACTTAGTAGAGCTGCTTGCTGTCTGCACTGAAGGCAAAAATGTCTACACAGAAATAAAATGCAACTCCCTTCTTCCTTTGGATGACATTGTTAGGGTAGTAACCCATGAGGATTGCATACCTGAGGTGAGGGCAGTGTGGAGGCACTGGCCTAGTAGATGTATTTGAAATGCGCTGGCTTTGGATGAGAGAGATTTGCTACTGCTGGGTCTGGCCTGAGGAGGGTGGTGGTGCAGGTGGACAGTAAGCCGTGAGCTGGGAAAGTGGATTCCTTCCCCTGTTCTGCCATCAGCAACCCCAGTCCATCTGGATAGTTAAGTTAAATCCTTCTATACTTGTTTCCTTGTGCTTAAAATGGGGATGTGATGCTGTACATGGTTATTTTATGGGGTTTTTGAGGCAGAGAGGTTTATGGAGTATGCTGCAAACCTTGGGCAGAAGGTTCTGCAGAACTGGAAATTATTATTATGCTGATGTTTTGTCTACAGTATTCCTAGTGGTTTTTTAATTGGGTGATGTCTTGCTATTCATGGCATTAAATTTCACCAGTGCTTAACTAAAAGGAAGATGAATTACAAATTATTTATATAGCAGCTTTAATGTGACATTGTGTTCATTCATAATACCATTCAGGTTTTTATTTTTTAATGGTAATTTTTTTCCCCTCTACTTTTAGGTCAAAATTGCATACATCAACTTCTTAAATCATTGCTATGTGGACACAGAAGTAGAAATGAAAGAGATTTACACCAGTAATCATATGTGGAAGCTATTTGAGAACTTCCTGGTTGACATCTGTCGGGTAATAATTTCTGTATCTTGGGACTGAATAAAAAATCTTAAATGAGCCTATTTCCTATAGAGCAGTCAGAATGAGACATAACAGGGCATCAAAGCAGTAAGTACCCTGAATACTGTGTTCCTTCAAATTTTATATGTGCCTTCTTTTCCTTATGCCTGTGGATTTCATTAGTCATATTCCATGGAACACATGAATATTTTCCTTTTAAAAAGAAAAAGAAAAAAAAAAAGCCAAACAAAACACAAACCTCAGAAAAGCCCCACGCCCTGCTCTTTTGTCTAATGTCTTTTTCTGTTCTGCCACCTGGCTTGCTTATTCTGGCCAGGATAGTGAGCTCCTTCCCCAGCAATAGTCAACGATTTTTGGCAGGTCAGGACAAATTTTTTCCAAGCTTGGCATTTGTTTGGCCATATGGCTCTTTGCCTGGGATTCCAAGTATTTCCCCGTACGAAAGCATTACACCTCAGTCTTCCCTACCCTATTCTTTCTTTCCTCTAAGGCATCCTGTTTTTTTCCCTTCCCCCTAAACATGCTGTATGCCAACACATAAAAGCAGTAATGGTGTTGGGCTTCTGCTTTTGTGTGTGCTGGAAATCCAGCTTCAAGCGTCCAGAGCTTCAAGTGTCATAAATATCATTGTGACAGGGAATTGCTGTGACTAGAACAGTGCAAAATGAGGAATTCCAGTCTGTAACACTCATTAATCTCCCTTGGTTGAGCTGCTTCTGACCCAAGAATGAATTCTCTTGCAGGCTTGTAACAACACCAGCGACAGAAAGCATGCCGACTCCATATTGGAGAAGTATGTTACAGAAATCGTGATGAGTATAGTCACCACCTTCTTCAGTTCCCCCTTCTCTGATCAGAGCACTACTTTGCAGGTAGGAGAATGTAGAGAGACAGAAAAGTGAAAAAATGCTGCCACTGCAATTATGTTCATTCCACTTTGGTTCCATTTATTGGTTACAAGCATGTGTGTTTGTAATGGGGGAGCAGATACGTATGCTTTGTGACCAGGATGTGTCTTTTGCTGTAGAAGTGGAAATACTTATAGATCAAGAGTATAAATGTTTTTCTAGAGAGTCTGAAGTGTCACATCGCTGCATTAGTAGATTCAACTCTGTATTACTTCCAAGATCACACAGGTCTTTTGGAGAGAGTTTCTACGTGTCATTATTGGATTCTGGGTGAGAAAATCACACTGCAAGTAGGGAAATGAAGGATTTTTGCATGTTTTTATTGCAGTTGGACTATGGTGGTCCTCTTTGCAGCCTTAGATCGGACTGCAGTTGAATAAGATGATGTGGGCAAGTGTAGGAAAGCAAACAAGCAGTTTTGCTCAGCGGTAGTTTGGCAGGCCAGCTGTCTAGCAGTGGTAAAGCAGTAGCATGCCAGCAAGGAGTTCTTCAGAGTGCCATGAAGAAGGAAGATAATGCTCTGGTGGAAAGCCCTCCAGACAGGAGAAGGGGGTTGTTGCATTGCAGAGGGGTTTTGCGATTGTTTAAAGGAAGCATGTTTTTGTAGGAAGATTTTCTAATTTCCTTTAAAACCAAAAACTTTCCAAAAGCTGTAGTGTGTTCCATTAAGCTGAGTAATTTCTGTCTTGTTTAAAAGTTGCGGATATGTGGAGGAGCAGCTTGGAACATTGGTGAAGTGACAGAAGGTACAGATTTCCACCACAGAACAGCAGTGTCAGGACTTTGCCCTAATATTTGTGTTGCAGCACAAAGATAACATCATTCTTTTATTCATAAATAACTTCTTGGGAGGAGTGTGGGTGGAGTGGTCAGGTGCCTGGCAGGTCTGTCAGGAGTTTGGGTATGGTAGTCATTGAAACTTGATGCAACCTCATCGTGCCAGAGGCAATTGTTCACAACGCAAACTGCAGGTTTGTTATTGAATGCAACTGGCAGCAGGTTAGGAGGCATCTGGTTCCCAAAAGGGCATCTGTCGATTTGACGTGTCATTTGTCAAGGAATTTGTGCTAACCCTTTGGATGATGGTGTGCTGTCTGCTTCTCTGGAGCACTACAGTCACCCATACATAAAACTGCTGCATCATTCTGCATCGGGTAGACTTCCTTCTGCTCAGTAAGAGCAATAACGTTCCTGCTTTTCCTCAACCCATATGTCTTGTGTTGACAGCTTGCCCTCCTTGAGCCGAGACATGAATTCAACCCATGTCTGGATGCCCAGTGGCTAGCATGACCTCAGCATCCAACGCAGCCCTGCTTCTCCCAGACTTAGACAGCCAAGGTGACCATCACACAGAAAGCAATTGAGCTGCTCTTAAATTGCCCAACTGTGGCCACTGCCTGTGAGAGCACAGGGAGCTGCAGCAGCAGTGTTTGGGCTGAGCAGCTTTATTAGGGTCTGTCTTAACTCATGCAAGTCTGAGCAGTTCAGCGGCTGATTTGCTCCACATGTGACTTAAAAATGCCAGTGGCTATTGCAGTGTCAGTGTCCATGCTAGTTTGTCAAAGCTCCATCAAAAGAAAATGAGAAACTGAGACCAAGTTAGCCTTGTCCCACAGGGCTCTGCCCTTCTCCTTGATTCCCTATCATGCTTTTAGTTGTAATCTCTGAGTGTACAGCATTTGAATACACTTCCTTACCATCTTATTTTAGTGATCTGTTATTTTTGTCAGCAGCTGTTCTTCAGTTTCCCAATCTCTCCCTCTGTCTAGAAGGAATGAAGTAACTTATTTCACCTCTCTTTTACCGTCTCAGTTGTTAGCTCTGTCTTATTCTGGATTCATCTTTCCTCTAGATTTCAAAGCGAAACAAGGAGAGAAACAATCTCCTTTTTTCTGCCTGTCAAGACTCTTGCCCATAACCAGCGACTCTCCCATCCGAGTACAGCCCATTGAACCACCTGGCTATGTGCATCACTGCTCCAGGTGGGATTTTCCCTCCTGTCTGAGGCTGCTGCCTGATCTGGCACCGCTGTCTCCATAGGCGACCAACCATTGCCACGCTCCCCTGCTTTGCCTTTGGACTCGGTCACTCCCTGTCCTTTCTGCTGCACCTTGTCATCTCGGGTCTTCCCATGCAAGCTTCTTCTTGTCTCATGCTCTTTCATGTTATAGCTTGTTCGACTTAAATTGTACCTCCTTTGAGTCAGGACCAGCCTTGCTTGTTCAAGGAACACCTTGTACATCTGTCATGCAGTTCAAATATAAAATTAGGAGAACATAAATACATCTTTTCAGAGAGCAGCTGTCCAAAACTTTAACATGTACTGTTTAGCCTGTTTGCCTCCTAAGAGTGCTGCTGCCCAAGGCTTTCCTTGACACATGTAGTTGGAGGCATGTGGAACATGGAGTAAATTTCTTACTTGATTTATTGACCTAGTTTAGGCAAATGAAACGTCTTTGAAGCTTTTAAAGACTGAAACGTCTTTAAATATGAACTGAAAGGACTACGTGGGTGGCTTAAACCCAAAAGTGCAGGTATTTTCAGTGCCTTTGGAGAACACTACTGTCTGCCATGGTTTTGGTGTTTGGCTTATTTCTAGAAAGCATAATAGGTTTTTGCCCCTCAGTAATTTTTGGTTCCTGAATTTTGATTCTCCTTTTGTACATTTCATAATGCTGTTATTTGACACATTGATCTAATAGATTGAATTATCTAATAGATTTGGCTTTTTCATCTAACTCCACTTTTCTCTTACAAGCAGACATTAATCTTGGCCAGAATGAAAGAGGTATTTTTTCAGTGGTTCCTAAGTGTTGTGGGCTTTGCACTGTGGTGTAGTTCACTTAGCTGATAGAAACGTGACATAGCTAGTAGGCACAGGGACACAGGGTATTCCCTTTCAATGTAAGTTCATTTGAAATATTAAGTACTCTTTCCTCTGCAAGTAAAATAAATGAATTGTTCTACTAAGTAATTTCTGTACAAAACCAAGCAGGGAGTTTTGGTCAGTGTTACTGGGATGCTGCAAAGATGAAAGCTCACGTGCATGTGTGTGTTGGAACAGCTTACCTATCTGTAGTGGAAGATTACCTTGTGAAATACAGGGCTAAACACCACACCTTAATTTTGGCTGATCCATAGCAGCTGTAATGTTCACCACTAGCTACTACCTGTGTTCAAAGTAACAAACACACATCTGGTTTCTTTAGTAAATGAGATACCAGCTAATAATACTTGAAATGATGAGTTTTCAACTCTGGAACTGTGCTCATTTAGCCAAAAGCAAAGTCCCATTTACCTGTGGACTGTTGAGTCAGGTACTGGTCAGCGCTAAAAGAGGAATTTCTGTATGCCAGGTTTGCTGATAACTCTGATTAAACAGATGAATATGACTGCTTATTTCCTTTGCTTAGTCAGGCTTCAATTACTTGAGGCTTTATGCTTTAGAAGCTATCTACTTAATATTTCCCTTCCAGCCTTTGTTCCCACCCTTCCCATTCACTTGCTGATTGTGTGGTAGATGCGCTGTCTACAACGTGGAGTTGCCTAACAAGTGGATGCAGACCAGTTAGAAATGCCTGGTGTGCAGAGAGTTGTGGCTGAAGCTGGTTACTGGTATTACTTCAAGGTGATGCTGATATATCTCAGTACAGTGCAATGAGTTTTCTTTAATGTTGCATTCTAGACTCGCCAACCTGTGTTCGTACAGTTGCTGCAAGGTGTGTTCAGAGTGTACCACTGCAACTGGTTAATGCCAAGCCAAAAGGCATCCGTGGAAAGCTGCATTCGGGTCCTCTCAGATGTAGGTAAGAAATGGATAGAATCAGAACTAACTGCTGCAAACATGGTCATCCAGTATTTGCTGCTTACATGACATCCTTCCAAAAAGCAACTGCGGTTTGCTTCCCACAGGTGCCACTTGCAGATAACTCAGCACCAAGGCACAGCACAAGGCCAGAGTTATGTTGATGTATTGTCATGGTTGAGCAATAGGTGTTGTCACTGTAACCTGAAGTGACTTCTCCATTTAACCTCAAAACTCTGCAGTAGGAAAATAGTTCTGTGCCATTCCTCCCAGTAATTTGCTCCACTTCTAGTAGCAAGAAGAGTCATTTGTACTGGATGTGTGGCCAAGTGCTGTCGGATAAATGTTACATGTGTGTCAGCATGAGATGCTGGGAGTGTGTGTATGTAAGGACTGATTCCTGTTCACACCTTTTGAAGACAGTAAGCAGCTCTGAGGCATGAAACCCCTTAAATGTAATGCTGCAGAGATGTCAGAGCCATTATGCTGGGACTGGGCTTTGCATTGTTTAAAGGAGATTGTAGAAGGAATTGCAAGTTAGAGCTTGTCTTGTTCTTGCATTGTTTGTAATACATGGGCGAAGGAGACAATCCTTACTGACTTCTGCTTCTTGCAGCAAAAAGCCGAGCGATTGCAATTCCTGTAGACTTGGACAGTCAGGTGAACAATCTCTTCCTGAAATCTCATAACATCGTACAGAAGACTGCGATGAACTGGCGAATGACTGCAAGGAATGCTGCCCGCAGAGACTCGGTGCTGGCTGCCTCCCGGGATTATCGAAACATAATTGAAAGATTACAGGTGACTACCCAGCATCCCTTCCTCCTTTGATAAGCGCTTACTTGCATGTCTACACAAAAGGAGGAATTGACTCAGTAGAAAGGCATTTGGGAATTTAACATGTGGCATTTTGACTAGTTACCAGGTTAGCTGATGCAGAATGTAATAATGCTGTATGCAAAATAAAATGTAAGTGGTTGTATCCAGACAGGTAATTGAACACGCATGGCTAATGGGTACAGAACATCCTAGGAGATGTTGAAACTTGAAGCTAGTGGTACTTGATGTATTTCTGTTCCACCATTAGGAGTATTTCTTTGATAAGACAGGACTTTTTCATCGTCACAGCATTCCAAACTTCTCCAGTGCTTTGCTCCTTGTACACCAAAACTCAGTACAATGAAAGGTGCCACAGCCTTGCCTGGAAACCACTGCAGAGCTTGAAATAAAGTGATATATCAGTTCCTCATGAACCAGTTGCAGCCACAGTCATTCCCTGAAACAACATGTGTGCATTCCCATGCTATTTTTGCCAAAAAGACTGTTTAAACCTAACGTTTCAATAGGAGCTGATGTGTTATAGCTGTATCCTATGTCCAGATTTGCAGGCAGTTCAATAAGTCTTCTCTTGTACCAAATGAAATTCATCTTGAATGGTGCTTTTATCCTTTGAAGATTCAGTTTCTATACAAAAACTTTTTCTGGCAAACAGTTGTAAATAACTTTACATAAACTTACATTATATAATATAAAAACACTGCTCAACCCATTCTCATTGAAATAGCTTTTCCTTCTTTATCCATTCCTGTTTGTCCATTTCAATTTGATTCAACTGCTTCTCCCGCTTCATAGGTATCTCAATATTTTCTACTTGTTTAAGTATTAGGATAAATGTGCTTTCACTTTAAGGTAGCTACAGCTTTCCAAACATCAGTGAAAAGGGGAAGAATTTTATTTTTGCATAGTTTTGACACTGGTACTTTTTTGTCAGCTGGTGTAAGGGTAAATAACCTGATGGTTGTCACAAAGTTTCAATGCTGCTATGAATCTGCATTTTTTCTTTCTTCCTATATGCACCTAAAAAGATGGGGAGGGTAGGGCAACTAAGTATTCTGGGAGACTGCTGGAAATCAGGGCTTCCCTTTTAATGACAACTATTAAACAATAAAACTGAAAGTCTTATCTGACCAAACTCTGAGATCTTTAGTTTATCCAGGCAGGACTACCCTAACTGTCCAGTCCCTCTTTTGCGGTTTGTAAAATTAATTAGCATATAAATTTATATGTATTTAATGTCTGTTTACAGTCTTAATATGGTTGTATTCTAGGACATCGTATCGGCTTTAGAGGATCGCCTGCGTCCTCTGGTCCAGGCAGAGCTGTCAGTACTGGTAGATGTGCTTCACAGGCCTGAACTGCTCTTCCCAGAGAACACAGATGCAAGGAGGAAATGTGAAAGCGGAGGTTTCATTTGCAAGTAAGTTGTCATGAAATCTGGCTTGTTGGGAGGGGTTCTGGTAGGTGTTGCTTTTTGCCAATTTTCCCATACCTTCTTGCCAAGCTTTTTACAAAGCAGAGTATTTTGTGAGATGGTAAGTGCAATTTGCCCTTGGAAGTGGAGAAAGACTGCTTGATATGCTCTTGCAGCTAGTGCTTAAAAATTTCTGGTTTTGCTGCAGTATAGAGATGTCATAAACAGTAGTATGAACAAATAATAAATGCTGAGCTAATCCAAGGTTTTACCTGGCTGTCTCGGGGGATGCAGTTTCCTTCACAGCTTCACCAATGCCTGGGGTAGCTGGTTCAGTGTTCCCAAGATGGTTGTATAATGGTATGATAATAAAACTCGTTTGCAGCTTAAAGCAATTAAGTAAGATAGCCATGTATATCTTACCCCATTTTTTAGAGTGTTAGTACTAAAACAAGCTGTGATTGATTGGTTATTTTCAGGTTAATAAAGCATACTAAACAGCTGCTAGAGGAGAATGAGGAGAAACTGTGTATTAAAGTGTTACAGACGCTCAGGGAAATGATGACCAAAGATAGAGGCTATGGAGAAAAGGTAATGTAACTTACAGTTCGTCATTCTGTGTTAAGCACTCTTTATTATTCAGTAAAGGAAAATAAAATTCTTACTCTTTCAAGCTGTGTTTTGTATGTGTAAGCACTTTTGTACTGAATCAGGAACAAAACATTTTTAGCCAACTAATAACTTCAAATATAATTTGAAAGGTAAGCTTGTTTCTGTTGCTTTTCTACTTTAGGCTTGCAGATTTAAGTCCAATTCCTGCAGTTGCTGGCAGTGTAAAAATATCTGATTTTGTTACCTTTTCATGAAGGATGTAACTTCTTTATTTGCTTTCTGGGTCTAGGTGACTCTTCATCAGGTCGCATAACCTTACGACAAGAGGATATTTTGTAGTTTAATTTATATACATCTGTGTCCATCATCTTGTGGTGAATTATAGATGGAAACTGTGCACCTACCTATGTTTTTTTTCTTTTTCTTTCCTACCTACCACTCCTTTGTCTTGAAGGTACTCCTTTTTCTATAGGTACAGACCTATTTTCTGTTTGCACCAGAATGTGTGTATATGCCCATATGTTTGTGTAACTAGACATTCCTATAGTCAGTCTCAAAATCTTCATCCGGGTATTTCATGCATTTTTCAGTCATTTCTATTTCCATGACATACAGTGTGCAGAGCACTGCACCCTCCCAGTGAACGTGCTCATGAGCAATTGGGAATTGGCAGCTGGGACTGGGGGGAAGCAGTGGCGTGGAAGGATGCTCACTGCAACCTGGGAGCAGGTGGTGTTTCATATCCAATTTTCACTTGCAGTAGGGTTTGAAGTTGCTGCATAGTGCTACATTCACAGAACAAAAAGGCAAAAGCTTTAGTGGTAAGATAGCTTAATTTATTATTATTATTTTATTATTATTATTGTTGTTGTCGTTGTTGTTTATCATTGTAGCTATAGCTGCAGCTGTGAGGATCGGCAATGCTCTCTAGGCAGAGGAACCCATAGCATCGCTAGGCTGGCTGGTGAACCGAGGTGTCACACACGACTCCTGCTTTGGCTGGCCTAGCTGGAAGGGAGGAGGACGCAGGAGCAGAATATCGTGCTTTTAGAATATGGAGGCAGGCACTCACACACCAGAGCACGGGGACCTGGAGAGCAAATGGAGCGAGGAGGCTGTGTGTGTGTGGGTGTACACGTGCACACGTGTGGGCTGTCACCCGAGCACACCCAGTGAGTGAGCGGGAGACTCCCAGGAAAATGCCCGCAGGGGAGGGATGGCCGGCGCTGTGCTCTCTGCCGGGTCAGGGAGCGCCCTTCCCAAGTGCTGCCGCTGCCTCTGGGCTGTCAGAGGTCCAGCCGCCTCCCGGCCACTGTTGCTGCTGTGCTCTGGACCTGCAGTCCTGCCTAGGGATTTCTTTTTCACTTTGCAGCAGCAGTATTTTTAAATAAACTCACTGAGGAAACACCCTCATCAACAGCAAGAAAGCAGCATATATACAGAGGATGAGAGGGGGAGCAGGGTAGGTAGGAAATGGCAGCAACTGCAGATTTCTCACTTTGAACACGTCCTTTCCTGCTGTAACGGCAGTGTCATGTGCCGGGTCTGAAGCCCTGTGGTGACCTTCTGTCCTGTCCCCAGCCCTGGGTCTGCAGCTGGAAGTCTCCAGTCACAAGGCCCCTTCATCAACTTGGGCAGTGTAGCACAGGTCTGGTCTGGAAGGGACAGGTTGGGGCTTGCAGAAGTGAGTCTGCTCCTGCACAGGGGAGTTGGGCTGGATGATCCTTTTTAGTGAGTGTGGAGTGCTGATACTTCCTGTTGCCCAAAGCTGGGGATGGGAAAGATTCAATGTAATCACAGATTTGGTTTGTTAGCAAGTCAGCGTACGTACATAGTCCTGTTAAAAACAGCAAAGAGACTGTCCAGGATCACCTGAAATAATATAAAGGGTGAATGGTATATATACTATAGACACTGTACACCAACAAAACCCAAATGAGAGCTTTGAGGTTTTGTCCTTTTAATCCAATATGCCACTTGGAGGTCTTTCTAAGTAGAAATTCATTTACAGGAGTTCCGTAGATATTTTTTTTTTCCTCCAAACTTGGGTGAAGCAATATTTCTAAAAGTACAGTTATAGTAACTCGCACCATTCAGACCATGGGGAACCCCACAAGATTCTAAAAATGTTCAAAGTGTAGAAAATGCATTAATTTCTGAAACAGTAGATCAGTTACATAATGCAGGATAAGAATATGCTCGCCTGTGAAGTGGATTTCCGAATATGAGAAAGCAGCTGATTGCTTACACATAGACTGATAGTAGTAGAACAGCTTTTACTGTCTGACTGAGAAGTGCAATCATATTTATTCTCTCTTGTGACTCATCTAACTGTATTTTGTCACCACTTAAAAGGCAATACCTTTTGTTTTAAAAATAATCCTTTTAAAAAAAATGATCCTTTTTTATTAAAAAAAAAGGAAAAAAACCTTACGCACCCTTTCTAAATACAGGAATTCCTACTTACTTAAAGGTAGCTAAACTTATTTTTGTGACCAGTGTATTGATCATGCAAGCAATACTGCTTCTAGGTAAGATGTTCGCACAATTGACAGCAGTTGCTTCGAAGTAATGTTCAGCAGTAGAGCACCATGGAAGTTTTGGCATGGCAAGTGATTTTACTGTAATACCATGTGGTGCTCACTGGAACAGTCTGATTTAGAAAAAGATTGTACTCCTCCTGCAATTAATCTTCCAGCACAAATATGAAAAATGCCACACCCTCCTGGCCTGTGCACTTGTCCCTTTTGTAAGGGTGGAAACATGATGAGAATTGTCCTGGTGTTGTCCGCTCCCATTAGCGAAGGGCTTCGTTAAACAGCTGGGATTCCTCTGCAGCATGCAAAACCCGTGGTGAGAACACAGATGTACAGAAGCTTGTGGGAAGGCTGGAAGTTTTGCATATTGCTAAAGACTCCTCGTCTTGGCACGCGCTCAGGTTTGCTCAGTGATGGGTAGCATACTGTGGTATATTTAATAGGCAGAAAACTTTACTACATTGACAGTGTAGGCTAGACCCAAGTTTTTTACTTTGCTGAAACATGTCATTCATACATGCCTTTCTGGGTGCCTACCAGATGATTAGCCTCGATTCTGCAGGACTTACATTTTAAGACTCCATTTCTCTTCCCAAAGTGAAAATCCAGCCTCTCCGCTCCTGCTGCTGCTCATTCTTACGCCCAAGGGTGAAGTTCTTGGATCTAGGTCAGCCAGCCCGCGCGGTTTGTCACTTGGCACAGGAACAAAGCCAGGACACATCCTGCCTCCGAAGCTCCCTGGCACAGTGGTGTTGGTTCCCTGACCCACCACATTCCGGGTGCTTGCAGACGTTACTCATGCCAACTATAAAATAGTCACAATGTTGAATTGCAGTGTTTAAGTGTTAAATGATTTATAAGATCCTAACACGAAATTTATTTGTAACTCCTCTTACTAATGCTTGCTTTCAATTCTTCTCCTTCTTTCTTTTCCGGCAGATTACCATTGAATTGGATAATGCTGAGGTTTTAATTTTATTTATTTTCTACAGTGTTGTTTCTATGGTGTTTGTTTTATGAGTAGCCCTGTGATCTGTCCTGTTGTCTCTTCAGCATTGAGCTTTCCAGTTTGTATGCCTGTGTCAGTGAATTAGTTGAGTTTCCAGTCTGCTGTGTGTCTACTCTGGGAATAGTTACCATAACTAATTCCGTATGTCATTATTTGGAATATTAGTCCAAATGCGGTTATAACTTCTGGCAGTCTGCAGTCTGGTGCCATAGTAGATCACATGAAGTTGAGGACCAGATCTGAGCCTTGGGAGCATCAGCTGCTGCAAGCATCATTAAAACATCAGCATGTAGCACTCGGCTGAGGTTACTGCATCATTGGTGAGCAGGCTTTTTCAGCAACACTAAGTACTAAAATAGTGATCCTGCTCTAGCAGTGGGGTTGGACTAGATGATCTTCAGAGGTCCTTTCCAACCCCTACCATCTTGTGGTTCGGTGATACTGAGGTTTAGTGGCATTGACATAAGCTGGAAGAAGCTGCCAAACGCCAGCTGGAGAAGACCCCGAATGAGGCATCTCCATCTCCTGACCATCGAGAGCACTTACTCACGTCCTAGGGCATGGCATAGCTGGGTGCAGGCAGCACTGGGGAGGGCTGGGTCCTCCTGCAGAATCTGCACTGCTGGCTTTACTGAAAAAGGTGACAGTCACGCAGCTCATGAAAGCATCTCACTGTCCTTCCTGTTGCTTCTTGGTTGAGGTTTGGTGTACAAAGCCTGAAAAAACATTGGGATGTGTTGTGAAAGCAGTGTGGTGTTGTAACCTGATGAAAATTACTGACTTCTGAAGCTATTTCTGTGTGAAAAGTTTCCTAGCCTCAAAAAACATGCATTCAGTTGGCAGCGTGGCAGCCTGGGCTGTGTTGATGCTGTATGTAGCTGGTTTACAGGTGTGAAAACCATATTTGAACGAGAGCTTTCAGTTTAACTGAAATTAAGCTTTCTAAGGACTTTTAAAAGTGGTCTGGTCTGGTCACCAGTGCACGGGGTGAAGGGAGAGAGCTGAGCTGTCTCTGCTGCTGCAGCTTCCTCATCCAGCTCAAAAAAAACCCCCATGTGTGGGCGCTAAATTTGAGATTCTTTTTGCATAAATGTATAATACTCAGAAAGTGATTGACTGGCACCTTATTTTACTGAAATACCAGGAAAAAAAGAAATATTTTCCTCTCTGTGCTTTGTTTCCTGCCTTCTCTTACAAGCCAGTCTTTTATTTGGAACAAAATTCAACCACTTAAAATACTTAAAATGCTACTGCTCTGTATTCAGTAGAGTAGATAATGAAATATGCCATAAATTGCTTTCTGTAGAACTTGTTAATTTTGATGTTCATCAGCTGAATTCACCTGGTTGAACTTCATTCTGAAAACCAAATAATATCTAGGGACCTTGCCTGTTGAAATGGATTTTAAAGCCTAATTATGTCACAAAAGTAGATCATAAAGTGTGCTCGTCACTTGGGGTTGGATTGGAGGGTCTTTTCCCTTCAGCAGGGCTTTTAGGGGAGGGAAGGAGCAGAATTCCTCATGAGAACAAAGCAGAGCTGTGGCTTTTTTGGTTTGTTTTTAATCTGGCCTCTGGTTGGGATGCTCAGGCCCCTGCTGCGCTGCCGGTCAGTGCAGTCACCACCATCCTGGCATGTGCTGGGGTCCCCTCTCCAGGCCAGAGCAGAAGGTCCATGGTCCATCCAGGTCTGAGGTACCTTCCTCATCACCAGTTTCAGCTTCAACAAAAAGCTCTTTATCATAAAATCCTCAGCTAGGGCTGCTTGGAGCATTCACCCTTCTGTTGGCCCTTAAATTATGTGGCACTGCAGCCTCCCAGAATAGTGTGTATATATATAATTTTATCTTGGAGAAACTTCAGACAAACTTGAATTGTTTAATTGCAAATTAAGTCATAACACGAAACTCTTTCTCCTTCACTTTCTGGCTGTAACGTGCTGTCTTTGCCCGAAATAAATCTGAGTGCAGAGAAATTAAGGATTTGGTCTGGAGGCTGCAAAGGAGAAGCTTTAGTGCTCCTTGGTGGAGCAGCCATGTGGAGGGAGCAGGTGTGGGTATAGCCATGGGCAGTGAGCGCTGGCCACTTATAGAAAGGGACTGGGACAAGGCTGGAACCACAGACAAATCTCAGAGGAAATCCTGGGGGGGAGGTTGTTGGGTTTTTGTTGCTCTTTTTGTTTTTCTTCCCCCTTGTCAACTCTGGAAGCTGTAAACAGTCAGGGCAAAGAATACAGAAATCTCCATTATTAATAAAATTATTAACTTCCCTTTCTGTTGAATTATGCACAATTTCATTTTTCTGATCAGCTGAAATGCTTCTAATTCCCTGAAGGTAAAACTCTACCAAATTAACCATCTTATGGCATGATTTCATAGCATTTATGTGATATATTTTAGTTGCTTACTGCAAGGTAATTTCAGGGAGTGGTGGGTCCAAATAATAAAAATAAAAATTCAAGTAATACAGTGCCAGGAGGTCCATATGCGTGTTACCAAAAGTTGTGTAGAAAATCAGCGTTTTTGTGAGAGACAAAAGGGAGCGAGTGGCCTTGTAACGGAGTGAATAATGCTGGAATTCACCTCAGTGGCAGGAAATCCCCCGCAGAACAGGAAGGATGCTGAGCGCTGCGACCTGAGCGCAAGGTTCAGAGCCTGCAACCCCCCTGCAAGCGCCTGCTGAGCTGCTGGAGTCACTGGAGGGTCTGCAGTGCTGGGGATGTGTTGTGGGAATAAAGGTCTGGTGCTGTCAGCCTGCTTCACGTGCTTTCTGTTGAGGGGTTTATCTGGAATTTCTTGGAAATGAGGGACAGGAAGGAACTGCAGTTTTCTAAGGAGAAGCAGTGCAGCGTGGTGCTTGTTTTCAGCATCTGTTACTGTAGTCTGAGGACCATGATCTGGTCTCACGGAAATACGACGACAGCATCTTTAAGCTCTTATAGATGTTTTCTTTTGAGCTCTGGAGGATTTGTGTAAAACGTTTTTCTTCTGGGGACAGAAATTAGGATATACTAAGAATAAGAGTCATCTTGCAGTATTTTCAAAACATCCATGTTCCTTGTAAAACTTGTAAAGGTGTGCAGACCTTTTGGAGAAGGGCTGTGTAAGATCGGTGTTAAAATAGAGCAGAAAATTTATCTAGAAAGATGGATGAAAGGCGCAACTTGTTTTGATAGAAAAGCAGAACCATCAGAAACTGTAAACCATTTTGCACCTTACTTGCACTGTGGTTGTGTTGGGTTTTGTCCTGACCTTGGGGAGCTGTGAGCTCAGAGCTTGTCTTTTGGCTTGTGGTGGGCCTCGTGTTTGGCTCCACGGGCTCTCCTTGAGTATCAGGCAGGTGTTAGGAGCTGAAGGGACCTGACTGGAGCTGAAGGAACCTGACTTGAGCAGCAGAGCTAAGTAGGGTGGTCTTAGTGTTGATTCTGTGCAGGTTTCTCAAGTAATAAAGACAGTAGAAACCCCCAAGGCAGTGCACTGGCTTGTCTATAAAAACCCTTGAGTGTCTCTTGATCGACTCCTTACTGGGCTGGAACTGGTGTAATCCTGTTCTTGATGGAGCTGATGACAATGCTGGTCTCTGTCTCTCAGAGAAGAGATACAGGACCAAGCTAAATTTGCCTCAAATGCCTTCAAAGGTGAATCTTCACACAACAGTGATAACTAAACCCCAGTTGTAGTTAGCCACAACAGTTTAATTTACTTCTAATTTAATCCCCAGCCCACTAAAGAGTCCGGGCACACTACAAATGCAGGTTTTGCAGCATTTCACAACTGAAGCTGAGATGGTGAGCTTTACCGTGGGTTCCCTGTGGTCCAGGACAGCGCAGGCAGCACAGCTCCCTCCCCACAGAGGCATTTCTCTTTGCAACCAGCCCTTCCCATCCCTGCTCCAGGGTCCAAATTTGGGGACAGTGTGGCCCACTTTCCACGTGCAGTGCGAGTCTTGGACACTAAAACGCATACATTCTAGAGAAACACATTAATATTTCATGGACGAAAAAGCAGAGACGTGTGAGTGCTGACCTGCAGGTGGCATGCTCAGGATGCTGAATGTGGCTGGGAGATGTCCTACTTTTGGGGTTGGTTTTTTTTTTTTCCTTTTTCTCCCCCCTCGTAGCCACATTGCAGTGAGCTGCTCCACTGGGCACCTGCCAACAGTCAGGCAGCAGTTACATAAGAACAGCTTGCTTTTTTTTTTATTCCTGGAATTTGGGCCCGCCGCTGATGTGTGACCTTCAGCGGTAATTGCCAATAAACACGGTGGAGATGTTTACAGCCACGCAGGTCCCCAAGCCTGCGCTGGGAGCTGCCATGCCTGGGGGCTGCTGCGGCTTCCTGTCACCCGTTGGGTCTGGATTTTGGTTTTTTCAGGGTGAAAAGGGGGTGCTTTTCTGCTCACCTCCACTCCAAGTTTGGGTCAAGGGCCAGCAAACGCCAAAACAACTAAATCCAGCAAGACTTAATAAGCACTCAGAGTTTCCCTTGTAATTATCTAGTCCTTTTTAGGATTTTAAGTTAAAAAACTGAATTAAGTAAAAACCTGGGGGGTTTTATAATTGTTGGGGGGTTTCTGTTTTTATTCAGTAATGACACTTCTTTGTGCAGCTGATAAAACTGTATCCTGCAAAATACACCTGCAGACCCACTCAGTGTAGTTTGGGGTTGTTTGTTTTGTCACCTTTTCACTTTGGTCTTGAAGTTTCAAGTAGGTGGAAAGGGAACTGAAAATCCTGTTTCAAAGGGGTTGACTGAAGTAACCTCCTCAGTCCTCTTTATCAATGATAAACTAAAGGGAGGGCTGAGTAAGGTGCAAAATATGTGCTATTTTATGCATGGTCTGATTGGAGCTGGAAAATGTGTTAACCTCTGAAGTGCTGGAGAGATGCACTTAGAAATTATTTTCCTTGTAGAGAGAGCTTCCTGCACAGTCATTTCTCTTGTGTATTTTGTACTTAGACAGTGCTTCACTTGTTATGTCTCGAGCAGAGGAAATGCAGCCTCTCATAAATTTTTGTGGGCTGCCTTATTTTTTTTTTCCTTCAGAAATCCTGCAATCTTTGGACTGTTTTTACTGCATGCTGGAATTGGTGAGCTTTTTGGGAAAGGAGGCTGGAACTTTTAGTTATTTGGAAGAACAAAAAAAAAATATTTACACCATCTTACCAGTTAATTAAACTGCTACTGTAAAATGTGGAGTGAAGAGAGTGCTTACTATATTCAGTTATTGTAAAAGACCTGCAAGATCGAGGATTCAAAGAGAAGCAAGTGATTGCACTCCCAGGGAAGGTCGGTGGTGTATCAGAGATTGAGGTCTCTGGCTCCAGGAAAGCCCCAGCCCAAGTCAAACGCGCTTTCTCAACTGAAAGCTCTGGAAAATGAGGGAAGGCACTCCCGTAGGCAGATCTCCGTGACCTTTCAGTGCAGGCACCGACAGCCCTGAAGCCAAATTTCCCACCTCATCATCTGGCAGCACACAAAGTCTCTGCAAATTCACTGTGATAGGAGGAGACAGAAAAATGTTTAACCGTGTCTCCGATCTGGGTGTGCACCGTGGTGGCTAGGTGAGGGGGTGTAAGCACGTGGTTGCTGCTCCGTCAAGTGCCAGGGGGAGCTGCCCATGCCCCCCTGTAAGTTCCATGTGTCTTCTGCAATGGCTGGAAGAGCAGCATGGCTCGGAGCAGCCCGTGCCAGGACAAATGCTGCTCCACATCTCCTGCTGCCTCTTAATTTATGGAGGTGTGAGATCTTCCATCACTAAAAATACACCGCTCGACAGCTTTGGTGCAGGTCTGTTACAATGGTGAACTGGAAGGTGGGAAGTTTGTGGAAGCAGCTCGGTGCTCTTGGTTCCCAGTTATTCCCCTCTGCCCTGAAACTTATCCACGGCAAGTCAGACGTGTGTTTGACAAACACCTACGTATCATCTGCAGAGGCTAGAAATTGCCTAGCCAATTTTTTTTCTCTGTTCTACAAGGTAACAGTATTGGCCTTAGAAAGGAGACGTGGCAAGCAGGTAGCCTCCATGGAGTTTTCCAGTATTATTGAAGAGTTTTAAAGGACAGCAATGTAATTAGTGCTCTAGTTTGTCGTTAATCTCGGCCTAGGTGGTGCTTTTGCTGTGTGTCTTTCTGACACTGAATCTGTTCCACAGAGAAAGGAGAAGTCCAGAAAAGGGAGAAAAAAGTTTAAAGGGACTTCCAGAGCTGTATCTAAACAGCCCGTCCCACTGGGACTCCAGCTGATACAGGAGATGGTGATGCAAGAGCCGAGGCAGAGGGCAATGGTTTCAGAACAACCTATATCTGAGATCTTCCATCTGCTTTTTTGCATCTGGATCTACAACCTAGCTATCAAAAGCTTAATGTGATCTTTGGCTGACTGACTCCATAGTTGTGTTTTTCCCCTTTTTATTTCCTCCTCTATGCCAAATCTCTCCCCCCACCACTCCGATAATTAGATGCCATATGCATGGAGTTGGGTGGGTTCCTGAATTCACAGATTTCAGGACCAGAAGGGACTGCTTGGTAATTTAACCCAACTTCCTGCAAAGGGCATCTCATTTCTCACCATTGCTTCTCTGCTGAGCCAAATCAATTCAGTTTGACTGAGCTTCATCCAAACACTCAGTGTTGATCTTGAAGACCTCCTAGGACAGGTTTCATTTTATTGTTGCCTTGCACCAGCGAGTCACCTTCCTATCCAATTGGAAAAAGACCTGAAGGAGATGTGTTTGGGAAATGGCATCAGCTTGTGAAAGTTGAGCAGTCGGAGGTCTGTCACCTCTCAGTCCTTTGAACTTGGAGATGGCCTGAAGCGGAGGAGGTTTGTGCTTGTAACTGTGCTGGTTTGTCCATTATTTTGTCAAAATTCTGAAGTTTGGTGAGGTTGAAGAGCAAAGGATCAGGTTTTTGAAAGTGTTAATGTGTGTGCTCACACAAGCATGAAGGTTTTTCTGATAAGATTATTTTCCACCTATTTTTAACATTACAATTTGAGATGTTTTCCATCCTATTTTGCTGAAGCCACTACCCGGAACAGACCCAGTCTATGTGAACTGGAATCTCCACCTGCCCTTTAAATTTATTTCAAGCCTTTTCAGCGCTCAGCATCCTGGATGTTTACTACGTAGTTGAGTTTAAAAAAAAATACTGAGAAAAGCAGTCCTGAGGCTTTAAACCTGAATAAAAGTCTTTCTGCATTTCCTCCGACCATTTCTACCTTTTTATCCACAGTGCTATTTGTTTGAATTTTCTGTGAGGTCCAGGGTTATCTTGATTGTTTCATCTTGATTGTTATTTTGAAAGCAAATGAAAAGAAAACTTTCATACTTTCCTCAAAACCATAAAGGAAGAGGACTGAAACCTCTTCCATATCTCAGAAGTTGAGATACAATGAGTTAACACTTGAACTGTCACTTGCTTTGGTGGTTTTTGAGGTGGATACATCCACTGTTGAGTCAGATAAAGACCATTCTGGGAAACACCCATAGGCTGTGTTAGGGAAATGGATGTAGAAGCATTACGGTCACCAACAGGTCGAAGACATTGTAATTCTCCTGTTATTGCTGGCAAAAAGTGAAGATGTACCTATCTCTGACCTTGCCACCCACTACCTTCTAGTTTAAAAACTGGCTGCTGTGTCCGTGGCACTCACCTGGCCGCTCTCAGTGAAGTGTCTCAGTACTCCACAGACTTGCCTCTGCCCCCCCCAAACCATCACTTCTCTTCTAGGTGGAGAGCTGAGGTACACTGAGGCATAAGAAATCGAGCAAAATTACTACTTCAGTCTACTCTCCCACCCTATTCAATCCTTGTAAAGCACAAGCTGATACTTTGCTGTTGCAGCACACGGGATAGCGCAAAGCGTAGCACAGTAACTCTAGCTCAATCGTTCTTTGCTATTTTAACCCATTTTGACTCAAAGAATAACAATTTCAGTATTTGGAGTTTCTATCCTTACTACAAGATTGCTGAAGGCTGTGCTTATTTGGAACGATCCGCCCCAGCATTGCCAAGGGCAGTAGCTTTTGCTTGCAGATGAGTTTGTGGGGCTGGTTCTAACATGCTGATCTATTTATATGTTCTATCTGTGCTACAGTGGGAAGCGCAGGAATTTGATAGCTAGAATATGTATTTTTTTCCTCCTCCAATTAAGTTGGAAAGATCAAACTAATTTCATGCTGATTCTGCATCTGTGCTGGTTTTTAGCCCCAAAATGTACACATATATTTGATAAAAATGGGGTCATGGTATAAGCCCAGTGATAAGGAAGCTTTCATTTGGAATCCGAGGTCCAGTAGTTATCTTGTGGCAGTCCACTTGACCTCCCAGCTTCTGTCTCCCTTCCCTGGAAGGAAGCGTCTGAATTTTCCTTACAGGGGAATATGCCCAATTTCCTTGCTGCTGTTTACTTCAGAAAGGAGGAATGTTTTGCTTTGCTCTGAAGTAAGTTGTGCAGACCATGCCTGCAATCAGAACAAGGTGCCCAGACTCCTTAATGACTTGATACGGTGTTTCCAGCATCCAGCCCACAAGCAGCAAGGGTGTGCAAAGCGGGCTGTGCAGGAACTGTGTGTTCCTCTGCATAAATGAGGTTCTTCCTGTTAACTTTTGGTCCTCTGCCTTAAGTACTCCCTGCTTCAATTTGACCAGGAGAAGAATGGTTTGCATGCTGGTGAAGTTTCCAGGAGTGGTGACAATGCAAGGAAACAGTGGACCAAAGGCCGTGTGAATTAGCCAGGAGGAAAATCCATTAGGAGAAAAATGGAGAATGGTTCTTCCTGGCCAAGGAGCCCCTGCCCGCAGAGCACTCACTCCTCTGGCTCCTTCCCGGGAAGTGGAGTCTCTCCATATTTAGACTTCTGGATCTCGTGGCCTTCCTCTCCATTTGCTGTGCCTTTCCTAGGCTGCAGCTGATACCGCGTTAAAACACCACAGTTGCTCTGCCAGCCTGTGCTTGATTTGTCTGTCTAGTTCATGTGCCCTCCAGGCAGACATGGACAATAAGTGGCTGACTTTATTTGGTATTACTGTATCGTCCTTGTCTTATTTCTTAGTGTCTGTTCCTGAGAAGTTAAATCAATTTACCCACGATTAAGTAGGCAGTTTCATTTGAATGTTTAGGTCTCTGTTGTGTGTCTAACCTCTACTAGATAAAAGTTGCTCGTCTTCATCTACTTCAATGTAATGATCAGCATTTTAAATTTGAAAAGCTGTCACCATTAAGCCTCTTATTTCGTTGCTCATCTTTGGTACCGTGTCACGTATCTTTTATCTCAGGAAAAGTATGTTTATAGATGAGAATCCATTGAAACCATTGGTTTTTTTAAACTAACATTGTAAGGCTGCTGCCTCTTCCTCCTCCCAGCTGGGGATGGCTGTGCAGATCCCAAGTGTGCGATCCAAGCAGACTGCCCAAAAGTGCATCTCTGCCTGTGCACCTGCAACTCAAGCTTTTTTGCTTGTGCCTCTGTGGTCATGCAAAGTAGTTTGGGATGTTCAAAGGATAGCTGCTAATTTTTCAGAAATGTAACTCTTTTAGGAGCTGGGTGGGTGGGAGGGTGTAAACAGTAATTATGGCTATAATTCATTTGTGATGATTCAGCTAAGTCAAATGCTTTGCTAGCTCCCTTCCCCTAAGTGTTGACCACTAGATTTCTGTTGGGATGAAAGATGCTTAAAGATTGACTAATTTTTCTGCATTTTGCTTTCAAATAGCTGCCGCAACCTCCAGAAACGGAAAGCTCTGTAGAGGTGTGTTACTCACCTATATTTGTACAACAGGCAAATATTGGTGTTTTGAAGTAGTCCTGGTGGAGTGTCTTGTTGGTAAAAAAAAAACCAAACCTTTGAAATGTGTGTTCCTGCGTGGTGTTGGTGAAAAAGAAGTAGATTTGTTGAAGTGGTTTAATCCAATATAGCATCAGCATAGTAGTCTGAAAATGCATAAAAGCATTAAAAGCAGTCCCTAATCTATGTTAGGGACAAAGTAAGGAGCCCAAAGGGCAGGTGTTTTAACCAGTCCAAGGTATTGCAGGTCTTTTAGCCACTTCTCTTAGCTTTTAAGGGAGGCGTAATTTTAAAAGTCTCTTCTCAAATTCCTCTGCAGTAGCAAAATGAGACTTCATTTGTCTAGCTCCTAATAGAGAATTGGGTTTTCCCTTTGTCTCACATATTTAAAAGCTTTGATAAGAAAATGGAGATGTCAAAATTTAGTGGAAGCTTCATAATCCCAGAGCAGCTGGTCCCATTTAAACAGCCACAGTGACACAGCTGACGGTCACTTCACATCTCTGAGGTGACTGGCTACGTAGTGAATTGGATGTGTGGGCACATTTCCCATCAGTTCGCATAAAACAGATTATTTGCCAAAATGGAGACATAAGAATCTATGAAATCTTAAATTCCTTTGAAATTAATGGGACATCTAGAGGTGGCATTGGTGGCTTGTACAACTGGGTACATAGCAGTACAAATCTAAGTGAAACAACATGGAAGTCTAAATGTAGGACAGTAAGCTATATAAATATGAGGATTATAAATATGTTTTGAAATCATGCAGAAGAAAAATGTTTGTGGTCGTTTAGGCCTTTGTATTTGTAATTTTTGTGGAGTAGTGTTTAAATGTAAACTGAAACTGAGTGGTCATAGAATGACTTTGAGATGTTTGGGAGATGGCTCCTGGTTTACAATGGGGCCCTGTATAGAGTGGTTGTTCCTACACATTTTCAGAATGCTTTAAACCAGAAAAAACTCAACATACTTCAGGTTTACAATGTGGATGTTCCATTCCTGAAAATTAAGATCTGAAATAAGAGATTTTATTTGGAAACGTGCATGTGCCAAGGGACTTTTTTCAATGAAACCTCACTGGGGTCCATGGCACTGGAACAGAAATGCCCCAGGTTTTGTCAGGGGCCCTCCGCAGTCTCAAAAGAGCTTCATTGACCACAGTCAGATGTGTTGAAGTGCCTACACTTCCTCTAGAAGTGTGTGTATAGTGGGATAGGGTGGGGGTGCCTGTGTGTGTGTGTGCGTGTATATGTATGCATGGGCATGCACGGTTTGAGTTCTAAACAACTTCTGTGTGTTACTGGGAACTGTAAAATTGGACCTTGTGTTTTCCTTAAACCCATGAGAATTTGTTGGCATACGTGCATGCCATGGTGGTCTGCCAAAGGGTGACAGGGCAAACTGCTTAAGTCCTGCCCGAGCTAATGGAGGGTGGATGTTCTGTTTCGATAGCTTGTCAGTCAATATTCCTCATCTCCCCCCTTGCTTTTAGTTGTGACTTCCCGTAATATTTCCCATGAGTGCAAAGATGTCAGTGTCTCTCTAGTGTTGTTCTGCTTTAAAATGAAATTTCTGCACACACAGCAGGAGATTGATCAAAGTCTACCACAGAGGCAACTGGAGGATCATAGAAGGGTACGTACAGCAGTCAAGCACATTCAGACCTAATCCTCTGCCTTTTCCTTTTAAACAGTGAAGCATAAGTCATGTAAGAAACTTCTGTGGTTAACTGTTTGCTGTTGGTCTCTTGGAAAATCTGAAGCCATCAGCCATGCTTATGAAGCAGGGTGTTGGAGCACCTTCTCTTGGGTTAAATGGAAGGAGCAGGTGCTTGGCTGCTCTGAATGAAACCTCGGCTCCTGCTCTAGTCTGTTCACACTTGCAAAGCACTCTCCATGGGTGCTGATCACACAGTTACGAAGTGAGATTAATCAGTGCTTGTGGGGTTTGCCTGCTTTGGCCAGGCCCCCCACTTCATGAACAGCCAAGCTGCAAAGTCAGCGTCATTAATGTATTTCTTGATTTCTTCTGCTCTTGTAGCTGGGAACTGAATAGCAGCAACTTACAGCTGCTTCACTTCTACATATTATTAAAGATACTCTCTTTAAAAGACTATTACAGGTTCTTGATATCACTTAAACCAAGCTGTGTATCACATCTGCTTTACTGATAATGTCCAATAATGTCTGTTTACTGCTTACTGTTAGCTTACCTTGAGGATGAATGCAGATGAAACTGAATGCTGTTGGGTTTTTTTCTAGGTAGCATATTTGATTTTTCTTATTGCTGCCACACATCTGATATTTGTTTGCATACTGTACGCATCAAAGTGGTGTACAACAGTAACATGATGGTTAAAGAACTGTTCTGGAGCCAAGCATTGCAGCTGAATTAATTATAACATTTCTTAAATACCACTTATTTTTTCTCCCCTCTACTTTGATCACATATTCGTATACTCGTTAGCTAACACAGTGGGTTTGAATAATTTTGTAGGAAACAAAGTTTTTCTACCCAGTTTGAATTCAAATTGCTAGTGAATACAGATTGCCAGACCTCCAAAATCGTGGAGCAGCATGCTTGCAGGCTAGAAACAACAAATGCTTGATATGTGTTCCCATGTCTATTTTCTGGGTACTTGTCCTGTTTTGGATACGCCCCTCCTGTAGACGATGGAGGTGCTGCAGGTCTGTCCTGAGCTCCCAGTGAGGTTTCTCCACTCACCCCAACTATTTTCACCATGGAATAGCAGTTGCCTTTTGCTCCACAGTGGACCAGAAGGAAAGTCTGGAGACAAGCCCAAGACTTGGGTTACCCTTCAAATTCAGGATGCGGTGGAGTTTACTGAACAGCAGTTCTTATGGTTTGATACGTGTTGCTATCTTTGCAGTAAGCAGTAAAAATTACTGGTTTTAAATGCTGGCTGATGTGATGGCAGCCAGTTAGTTGAACAGAAGAGGGAAAAGGTAATGTGAGAACTCCATTGTAACTTGATTTTTGGCATAGGGCTTTATGGGTATCAAGTTGCCTTTCTAATCGGTACACATGTAGAAGGGAGATGTAGTTAAGGGCTTTTTTTGTCTGGCTTGGCCTTGTTCTGTCATGTAGCCTTCCTTACCTGCCAGACTGGGAGCAGAAAGATGGTTAAAGCACTAGATCATGTACTAAACAGTCTCATGTTGCTGTCAGTCAGAGTCGCTCCTCTGGGATAAGAATTTGCTTGAGCTTTTGAATTTATTCCTACACATTCACTGTTGGGCCAAGCAGTGATAGGAAGCGTATGCCCCTTGAAAAAGTGCTCATCTTCTACTGTTGCTTCCAAAGTAACTTGACTTTTTTGTGTGTCTTTTGGGAGTTTTGGAAGCAGCTGGTTGGAAAGCTCTCTTCGTGTTTATTTTACATCTTGTCTCTCTGCTGCTTCCACCGTCCCCATCTGATTCCATAAAATGCAGCTCCTGTGCTGCAGCTTTTGCATCAATAATCAAGAGGAACAGTTTTTAATCCACTAAGTTGTAGGCAGTTGGAGCCCTGACATTAGCACCAGCCTTGTGGGGAGGACAGTGATCCCTGACCAGCTGCGGGCAGGCATTGAGCTGCTCTGTTTGGAAGCGATGTCTGAAATTCGGTAAAGGGGTGTTAATTTCCAGGCCGGTTTTTGTTTTTCCAGAATCCAATAAGGATTTCTCTAAGCAACCTTCTGTGGGTGCCAGCTTTGTATCAAAGGCAGTGTGGCTGCAGCAGAGCTGGAGTTTTGTATGAGCCAGTTAATGCACATTTATGTTGTCCCATTTACGTATTTGTGTTTTAAAGGCCTCTTGTGAAAGTTTAAAAATAAGGCTTCACTTGCATGACAGGTCATACTAAACCTTGTAGTTAATGACATTTTGAATCTAGAGTCAGACAACTCGTTGCATTTGAAATACTACTGAAAATCAGTGTCAGGCACTTGTTTAGTGAACAGAGATCAAGATGCTTTAGTTCATCCTGACGGATTTTTAATGTGAAATTATTCTTGGCTGGATTTTTTTTTTGTTTGCTTGTTTAATTTTAATTGAAATCCCCTTCCTTCCCCCTCAGGGTGGTCCTGCTGTAACCACAGCACGCTGCCATTAGGAGAGCAGTAGCTCCCCATTAAAATCATCGCCAGTCTGTCTTTTTGCACTAAGAGCTTATAAAAAAATCTGTTAATCCAACTGCGGTGTTTGTGCCTCTGCCACCAGCTTTGCACGGCTCTCCAAATTACTGGGAATTCCTGCAAGGACTTAAGCAAGAGCAGCGTTAACATTCAACCTGGGAGGTGTTTTGGTCTCCTCTGGCGTCTGCTGACGGCAGCGGCGCGTGCTCCACGGGATGTTGGGGTTATCCGAGGACCCGGTGCCCCGCAGTGTCCGCAGGCTCATGTGCTGGGGTGCTGATGGCTGGTGTGACTGCGCAGCTGCCAGCGGGGACGCGGGGAACAAAGAGCTGGGATGCAGCGGGGATCGCTCGGGTTTCCGCTTGGTGGCTGGCGGCGTCAGGTCGCATCGGTTGCGGATGGAGGGAGAAAAAGGAGCGTTCCTGTGACATTGGTGAAATGGCAAAATAGGATAGGTTTGAGAAGATGGGATTGCTTGCTCACAAAACCATTTCTAGTGTTACTCTTTCTCTAATCCTCCTCTTCGGTTTGTGTTGGTGCTGTACAAATGCCACTTTTTTCATTTAAGACTGAGACAATAGATCTTAATTAAAAACAAAAAAAGTCTTTGAGAATAAAATCTGTCTAGCAAGCTTTACATGAAAACTGAAGTGTAGCTGTTTCTGGTGCTGGGAACCCATAATCTTATTTGAGCCCCAGGAGACCCTCCCCCAGCAAAAGTGTCCCAGCCTGCCCCAGCACGCTGGGAGTTGCTCAGTGGATTTTTCAAAATCTCCAGGGTTTTGGTTCCCCTTCCCTCACTGCAAGTAGGCTAATGATAACAGCAGTCCCCTCACTACTGAATATTGCTAGTTTGTTTATTCATTAAGCTCACACCGTGATTTCCTTCTCCTCTCTGACTCAAGGGTGAGGCGCTCAGGCAGGTGTTGGTCAACCGTTATTACGGCAACGTGAGACCGGCAGGACGGCGCGAGAGCCTCACCACCTTCGGCAATGGCCCCCTGTCTGCTGGAGGCACCAGCAAAGCCGGGGCAGGAGGTAGGATGTGCTCCTGCTCATCAGTGGTTCGCATGATCTGCCCCATCAGATGCTGTGTGTCTGTGTCTGCCTGGCAAATCGGTATCTTACAGGTGATGTAAGGGGGTTTTTTCCCCCTCTTTTGGGATTTTTCCCTTACTGCTCTGTTCTGTGAAATCCCAAAAAGAGAAGAAACTGTCCACGTGGATGGGGGAGAGGTCACGCTTGCACATCACTCCTGGGTTTGGGAACTCCCACGTGTTGTAATTCTCCTTGAGGGATTTCACTTTAGGCTGAGCAGAGCATCGCTCTCCTATCCATGATCAGGTCAACTGCTTTTTCCTCATGCAGATGTGAGCGGTGTTCTTTTCCTCCTAACTGCATTTGAGAAAGTATTTTAAATTTAAGCAGGCAGAGCATTATATACTTTCCAGAGACTTTCTTTGGTTGGCTTGAAATTTGTGACTTTGCTTTGAATGAACGTAGTCAGAAAACCTGAATAATCTAATATTTGCAATAATATTTGGGAAATGTGTTCATAGGGATGTCAGATTATTAATCATACCTGAAACAAAAACATTTCATTGTGTTAGAGATTGTGGGGTAGTTATGAAGTGCAGTTTATTTAATTTGAGACCATTGCTAAGAACGTCAGTAATGCCAGACATGTTTTGTAAAAACAGAGTTCAGTGGGTTTTGTCTCTTCAAAATAAAGACTGTGGTAAAGACTGTTGAAAGCAGACCTAATCACAAACAAACAAAACCCCCTTTTTTTAAGTTATATATTACATTTGTCTTGTGTTGTGCTGCTGCTGTACTCTTGCACTTTCCAAAGCATTTTTGCTTCAGTTATTCTTCCTGCCCCTTCCACGTGCTCTTGCGTGCTTAGCCTGCTTGGTCTGTTTATCCACGAAGTTCACAGCTCTGTAATTGTACAGAAACATAGCATTGGCTTTGCTATCCTCTGGGATTCGCCTTACCTTTACGCCATCCCCTCACTGGTCCTGCAGAGCCTCCACCTTTCTCTTTGTCCCTGAATCCACGCTGTTTCCAGAATCCTCTTCCAATACTGAGGCCACTCTCCACTTTCTGCTGCTAACAAAGGCAGCAGGTGGCCGTAGCTTTGAGATAGCTCAATAATTTAAAGCAGAAGAGAGGTGCTGTCCCTGTAGGGTGGAAGGGTTTGAATCTTAGCCTGTTTTTCATGATTTATAGGAGGAGGCTCTGGATCAAGTTCAATGAGCCGAGTTGAGATGAGTTTGGCAGATGTCCAATGTCATCTGGATAAAGAAGGTGCATCCAACCTGGTCATAGATCTCATCATGAATGCCACCAGCGACAGAGTCTTCCATGAGAGCATCCTGCTAGCCATTGCTCTTCTGGAAGGTGGGAACACAACAATACAGGTAGGGAAATGGAAAACTTCTAACTAAAACTTGTTGGGAAGGGAAATGTTTTTATGAAATGCAGGAAACCCGAGGAGGGTTAAGGAGATGGGAGAGGAAATTACTAAATGATCTTTGACCTCTAATTAAGGGAAATATTAGTGTCTACCATGCAAAAGTGAACTTATTAAATGTTTGCATGGGTATTGGGTAATTGAGGTATTTCCCAAGGCAATATAGAGGAATGTATAACAAAACAGCTTTGTAGCATAAATTAATGTGACTCCTTTTATGAGTAAGTTTAAGCAACTGCAGCATTCTCAGAGACTTTTACAGCTAGCTCTTAAATTTCAGGCTGAAATTTAAAATAACAGTGTGTGGTAAACTCCAGACTACCACCATTCTCCTGTAATCTCACTGTCCTTCGTTCTGTGTTTTAAATAAGAATTTGGTTCCCCTAAATGCAAATTGCGCGTGGTATGGATTTTAATGAGCATACACTAACTAGCTTGTACAGTGTTCTTCTGAATGGCAAGTAAAACCTTACTATGGCAAAAAATGCCTACAAAGATGATTGAACATTGTAATACCTTATTCTTTTGACTCTGCAAGTGTTCTGTTTGCAAACAGTCTGTTTCAGTCTTGGACAATGTCCTTTATGCGTAGCAATTCCAGAGAGTTACCCCTCTCCTACGCTGCTGCCGTGCATTACGCATGTCTGAACAAAACACTCGGTCATTTGTTTAAGAAGGTCAATTTTGCACTCAGAAGTGATACATCCAAATGTTTCATATATATTCAGATTTAGGTTTATAATTTGATGCTATTTGTGCCGCATCCTAATTAAGAACATTTATTTAGATACTTAAAAGATAAAACATGCTGTCATTTTCATAAGAGCTTGGGCAAAGAGAGCTAAAAAAAAAAAATTATATATGTAGCCCACTGTTCCCAGCATGGCATAACCACTCCCCAGTCCTTTATTTTTCTGCCCTGAAAACCAAACTGCCCGCAAGATGCAGTCTGTCTCTGGTGTCGCTGCATCATGCAGATCCCTGCAGCAGCACCCCTTGTTTTCATACAAACTTCTGTTGAGAGGAGAGGGAACCTTCTGGGGCTCCTTCACTGACTCTGTAATCAGTACCCTCTTTTTTTTCCCTGCTTGTATGCTCTGGAGTGAAGCTTCTTTACAAAAGACAAAGCGGGAATCAAGCGTTTAAAATCCCGCGTCACTGCAATGACAGGATTAACATTCCTCGGGGAGAGTCGCTGCTTTACATTTCCTGCTTTTCTCTGATGTAAAGGAAGCTGAGCTTTCATCTTCCCAGCTCGCAGGGAGCCTCAGGTCACCTCACACGGTCAGGCTGGAAGGAAAAAAATTCTGCCCCAGCCTGACGTGGAGAAACCCTTTGCTTGTGCTGGGACCCAGAATTGATGGAGTGAGTCGAGTTCCTTCCTGCTGTGTGCAAATCTGTGTAGGAAGCAGATTCCTTAGCTCCTCTGCTCAAAACAAACAGGGAAATCTGCAGTCCATCTCCAAAGACACATTTTTCTCCAAAAAGAGAGTTTCTCTGGTTTGCATTTGCTCTCTGTAGCTGAGATCTGTAAATGTTAGGAGTGGGCTGTTGGCATAAGGTGCTTACAGCAAACGGCAAAACACTTTTGCATCCACGCCTTATGGCCCTGCCAGGGTCTGTTGCACTCTTGTGTTTAGAGATGTTACTTCTGCAAACCAGGGTAACTACTTTGTCATTTCCCATTCAAGGATAAGTGCTTAGCAACTGTCTTTACCTTTAGAAAATGCTCTGGGCAGTGACTTGCTGCCCGTGCATGTCCGTGCTGTGACGCCGCAGCGAAGGGCTGGGAGGGAGCTCTGGCGTTGGCTGGTTTTCGGTACAGAGTGTTTTAGGAACCAAATGACTTGGGATGCCTGCAGCTAACGCTGTAAGCTCCGAGGGCTTGGACACACCCAGGAGCTCTTACTCACGTATGCAAGGCACAGATGAGACTTCATTGAAAATATCCTGTGGAGCAGTTGTAACATAAATGTTCCGTGTCATAGATCTGATAGCAAAAGGCAAAAAAAGGTTTATGAGTGCAGAACAATGTTCCTTGACTTGCCTCTGCATTGGTTAACTGGTCCTGATGGTGAGTTCACTGGTGTCTTGCTTTACTGGCACTGGCTCTAGCACAGTTAGGGCCCATGGGGACCACTCCAATGTCAGTCAGGAACAGCACATATTCAGCGCTCTGATCTTTCAGCAGTATTTGAGTCATGAAAGCCAAGTAAAACTTTAATGGAAAAAAACACCAACCACAAAACTTAACTGCTGGGAGAACAGCTGGCTCAATGCTGGTGAATCAAAGCGAAGGTGGACGTTTTGCTCTTTAGTAAAATCACAATTCCAGGTCTGTGTCTCCCAGAGTATTTGCTGAAAGATAACACATAGTGCCTGCCCTGAGACAGTGAATTCAGCTTTTCTCTCTTCAGATAGGAAGAACAACGTATCCGTTCTGTAGGCTCTGGGTGCAGCCGAGCTGTTGGGGAGCGCTGCCTTTACAGGAGAGCTGCATGGGGCACTCGCTAATCTGCAGAGCTGCAAATCCAGCGGGTTTTATAGAGCAGTCTCCACTACAGCACAGTAAAGATTTATTGAATGCAGCAGTGTGATGGTCTCCTACTTAGCAAGATTTCATTTCTGCGAAAATTAGACTGCAAAATTTGTCTGTATGTGGAAACTAGATGCACTTATGAACCCCGTACTTTCTGTGGTCTTTTATCCTGATCTTTCTCTAATCTATGTCCTTTTGGTAAGTTTTGCAGACGAGGTAGGTAGGGCTTCACAACCTGTGCAGAGTGGATTTTCTGAAGTTCTATGACCGTTTCCAGTAACTGCCAGTGAAAGAGTCATCTTCCGTCTTTGGACCAGTAACTGCGTTCATTTTGCATCAGATACATTTGTCATTGTGAAAGTCGACCTAGCCAAATCGGCCAGCTTTGTCTTTGAAGCCTAGCACAGTTTATCTTCATTTCACAATTTTTTTTGTTATTATTAGCAGCTCTTGATTTATAGTATTCTGTTCAGTCTGAATAATTTTTACTGAACTTAATATCTACAGGCCTTTGAGAGTAGGGAACTAACTGGTGGGATAGGGACAGGTTATGTAAAAAAGCTTTTTGGCAACAAAGCCAGAAATGTGTCACCCCTGCGTGGCATTTTCCTGACTCCAGGTTTTCACACGGGAAATGAGTTTGGCCTGAAGTTAAGCAAAAGGTTTGTACTGACACACGGGAACTTGCACATGTTGATTGTAATATGGTTAATAAAGGGAGTTCCCGGGTAACTCCCATGAGCTTCAGTGGGAGAACAGATCCCCGTGATGCTGGGAAGGGATAACTGGAATAGGTGTTACCGTTTCATTAGATATGTGGAGGGCCAATATTAAGGCTAGGCAAAGTAGGTGGTTGCCAACTCTAGCAGAAAAGCAAATCTAGAAATGTTCCTTATTATAACCGGCAGGAGTGATTTTTACTGTATTGTTAAGAAAGTTAACATGGAGGAGAAGCAGGATGAGAAAAAATACTCCTGATATACCTCAGGGAAAGGGCTAAGCTGGTCGTGTGTGGCACACAAAATCCAATGCTGCTGCTCCGTGTTCTGTTATAGCAGTAAATGTGATGGTGATAAATTATCTGTTCGGAGAGAAGGCACTTAAAGCTCTCTGGATGGAAACTTTTCTGGGTTATCTTCAGTGTTTGGAATTCACTTAGCAATGCTGTCAGGTTCTTTGGTAACAGAGACACCGCTGGAAGTGTCATAGCTGTGTCCGGTGAGCTTGTCCCTCCTGCTCAGCAGGAGCTCTGTTTTTTTTTTCAGCGGGAAGCCTGCCCTCGTTTGTAAGGAGACAGAAGCGGAGGTGGAACCGCAGGGTCAAAACCAGACAACAAATTAACTTGACAAATGCTGCAGCTCACTGAACCGAAAATTACATAAACCCCTTTATTAATTTATATAACCCTCAGCATCCACCTCAAGAGAGCTGGCATCAGCAGCTCTGTGTGGAGCAGCCCTGGGGGGGGATGTCCCACCAACCCCATGCTCCTCTTTGAAATGGTGAGGGGCGAGCATGCCCTGTGTCCGAGGTGCTGCCGGCCGGCGTGTGGCACCCATCCCCCTGGGGTGCTGGCTTGGGTGCGCTTTGCCGGAGCTTGCATAGCTCATAGGCACACTGCATGTGGAGCTGCATCTCCTTCAGAAGAGATGGGAGCTTGGTCTGTTCTCAGACACCACAGCACGGTGAGTTTTCCTTCCTTGAAGCAACCTCAGCAAACAAACGGTAGCGGAGGAAATTGCTGAGGACTTCTGCAATGCTTGTGTCTCATCTGCTACATTAAAATTATATGTGCCATTACTTTGCCACACCTCCATAGAGTTTTGGGTTTCCTTGGTCAGTGGAAGTTAATGGCAAGTAAAGTCCCTTACATAACTGCCTCTCCATGGAGACTTCGACCCGCTCGTTTAATTGGGGATCTTCTCAACAGTTAGATTGCGGGACAAATTACCCACACGCACACGTTGGTATTTTCAGCAAGGGAAGGTAAAATGAGGTTGATGGCATTAGTTGAGTTTCAGGCATTTTTTTTAAGTGTTACTCCAAAGTGGTGCGATGCAGAGCTACCATTTCGAAGTGCAGTGGTGCCTTCTTTCCCCCTTTGTCCACATTTCTTCCCAAGGTGGGCTGCAAGCACAGAGGATGAGGTGACAGGAGTCAGCACTCAAGGAAAAGGTGATTATTTTTCAAGAAAGAAGTGAGATTTGCTCCCAGCTTTAAGGCATCTGAGCAGAGTCACTGCTCCCGCACAGAGGATGATGATGGGATCTGCTCTGTACCCCTCCTTCCCCTGGCAGCTGAGTATGGGATGAGGACCAGGGGTCACCACAGCTGGAGACAGCACCAGGGAACCTGTGGTGGTGGACCATGGTGGTCATGCCTCCATCACGACACGACAAGAGCGAATC